GATTTATCAAATGAGTGTTCCTCATAAAGGGACGCGTGCCTTTTGGGAAAATCCAAATTCATTGTTGCTAGTTGATCTACTTAGTCTAAGAATTTGGATAAGTAGTATAATTAGAACATTGTTCCCTATTACTCGTCTTTCTGCAAGAGACAGGTAGGTGCCTTTTGGGGAATTCCAGATGCATCTGTTTTAACTCGTCCAATGATTCTTTATATTATCATTCTAAGTATTCCAAAGGGACGGGCGCCCTTTGGGGAATCCAGATTCAGTGTCTGTTCTAATCATTCTACTTCTTTGATTTGTCCAATTGCACTAATTAGTCCTAAAGGGGCGAGGTGCCTTTTTAGGGAATTCAAGATTCATGTTTGCAATAGGCAAGTGTAAAAGCATTCGTGTTAGTCTATTTTTCCGAATGGGGAAGGGGCCCTTTGGGAAATTGCAGATATGTTTAAATCATTGTGAGTATTGGAGTGGTTCTACATAGTTAGAATAAATAGAATAAGACGAAGACACGTAGCCCTATTTGTTGTTTCTGGTTTGTGCCACAGGGGCAGGTGCCTTTGGGGGAAGTACGCAAACATCGCGTCTAACTCAAGCTATTAAACTCATTCTGACAAATTAGACACATTAATAAAATAGACCAAATAACGCCTTTTTTTTTCAGCCATTCGGATTTTTCCAATTGTTCCCACAGCGACTCGTGCCTTCTCAGGAAATCCACATCATGTGTTGTGCAAGTTCCTGTAATTGTTCAAGCTGTTCTAATTACTCCTCAGGGGAAGGATGCCCTCTGGGGAACGCAAGATTCATGTTTCAAATTATTCTACTCATGTATTCCGAAAGGGTCAGGCGCCTGTTGGGGAATTCCCGAATCATAGATTCATACTTAGCTATTTTTGACCATTGAATCGAATAACTATGATAATAAAAGACAAACAGGGCTATGTTTTGCTAACTGTTCTAAATAGTAAATTTGTTCCCCGCGGGACAGGTGCCTTTGGGAATTCCAGATTAAGGTTTGCTCCAACTATCCTGAATAATGTCATTATTCCATCCATTCCCAAAGGGACGGGTGCCTTTGGGGCGAACTCCTGATTCATGTGTGTGCCAATTATTCTAACTCTCTAAATATTCTGATTATTCCCAAAGGGGCGGGTGCCTTTTCAGGAATTCAAAATTCATCTTGCAAATAATCCTACTTATCACAATTCTTCCAGTTCTTCCAATTGCAATGATTCGGGTGCTTTTCGGAGAATTCCAGATTCATCTGTGTTCTAATTTAATTTGTTATAATCATTTCCTCAACGGATCATTACTATTCGACTTTCTCTACTATTCGACTTTCTCTACTTATTCCGAAAGAGCGGGTGCCTGTTGAGGATTTCAGATTCCTCTTTGTCCTAATTGCTCCACTTCTTCTCATTGTTCTAATTCCGCTACGTACTCACAAGGGATGGGTGCCTTTTGGGAAGTTCAATGTTAATTTTGCTAAAATTCGACTTATCAGAACTGTTCTCACTATTCTAGTTCATCCCTGAGGGGCAGGGGTTCCATTTTTTGTTGCTGTAGGTTAAGTTTTCTATTTCCAGTAGTCCCGGGCCCACTTCCCGGAATCCTGGGCCCCTATTGTTTTTCTAATATTTCTAATTTGTCTCATTTCTTAATTAATTAGGAAAATTAGAAAATTCGAGGGCCTTGTTCTTCTATTTTTATTTCTTCTAATTAATTGGGAAAAATCGAGGCCATTGTGTTTCCATTTTTTAGGAAAATAACAAATATATGTAATCCCGGGCCCACTTCCCGGAATCCTGGGCCCCCTTTGTTTTTCTAACTCTTCTAATTTTTAATTAACTAGGAAAATAAGAGAAATAAGAAAATTCGAGGGCCTTTTTTGCTATTTCTCATTTTTTTCAATTAGGAAAATTAGAAAAGAATCGAGGCCATGTGTTGTCTAAGTTTTCTATTTTTTTTAATTCCTGTAGTCCCGGGCCCACTTCCCGGAATCCTGGGCCCCTAGTGTTTTTCTAGATTTTCTGTAATTGCGTCTTATTGTTCTAATTAAATAGGAAAATTAGAAAAACTGGAAAATTCAAGGGCCTTGTTTCTATGTTTTTTAATTGTTTCTAATTAATTAGGAAAATTAACACAAATAGAAAATTCGAGGGCCTTGTTGTCCATTTCTTTTTATGTTTTTTCTAAAAAGGGCATTTGTTCTAATTTTTCCAATTCCTGTAGTGCCGGGCCCACTTCCCGAAATCCTGGACCCCTTTTGTTTTTCTATTTGTTCTAGTTTTTCTAACTAATTTTGAAACTTAGAACAATTAGAAAATTCGAGGGCCTTTCTTTTTTCTATTTTCTATGTTTTCTAATTAATAAGGAAAATTAGCAAATAGACAAAATATAAATTCGAGGGACTTGTTTTTTAACTTGTTTTTTCTATTTCCTGTAGTTCCGGGCCCACTTCCCGCAATCCTGGGCCCCAATTGTTTTTCTATGTCTTCTATTTTCCTATTTTTCATATTTTTCAAAATTAATTAGGAAAAATAGAAAGAACAAAAAGAAAAGCGAGGCCCTCGAGTTTTCTAATTGTCTTCCAAATCAGCTTAAATATTTTAAATATTTTAAATCGGGGTCCCGGGGATTTAAAATATTTAAACTAGTTAAAATATTTAGGCCCCAAATCAGCTGAAATATTTTAAATATTTTAAATCGGGGGCCCGGGGATTTATAATATTCAAAATATTTAAAATATGTGGGCCCCAAATCAGTTAAAATATTTTAAATGTTTTAAATCCCGGGAACCCAGGATCTGAGCCCGATTTAACATTTTAAATATTTCAATTATTTTAAATATTTTAAATCGGGGCCCGGGGATTTAAAATATTTAACATATTTATAATATTTAGGCCCCAAATCAGCTTAAATATTTTAAATAGTTTACATCGGGGCCCGGGGGTTCAAAAATAGATAAAATATTTAGATTATTTAAAATTTTAAATCGGGCCCAGCTCCAGAAATCAGGACCCAGGGATTTAAAATATTTAAAATATGTAAAATATTTGAGCCCCAAATCAGCTTAAACATTTTAAATATTTTAAATCGGGGGCCCGGGGATTTAACATATTTAAAATATTTAAAATATTTAGGCCCCAAATCAGTTTAAATATTTAAATTATATTAAATCGGGGGCCCGGGGATTTAAAATATTGAAAATATTTAAAATATCTAAATTATTTAAAATTTTAAATCGGCCCCAGCTCCAGAAATCAGGACCCGGGGAGTTGAAATATTTAAAATATTTAGGCCCCAAATCAGCTTAAATATCTTAAATATTTTGAAATTGGGGGCCCGGGGATTTAAAATATTTAAAAAAATTGAAATATTGAAATTATTTAAAATTTTAAATCGGCCCCAGCTCCAGAAATCAGGACCCGGGGATTTAAAATATTTAAAATATTTGAAATATTTAGGCCCCAAATCAGCTTAAATATTTTAAATATTTTAAATCGGGGCCCGGGGATTTAAAATATTTAAAATATTTAGAATATTTAGGCCCCAAATCAGCTTAAATATTTTAAATTTGTCAAATCCCGGAAACCCAGGATCTGAGCCCGATTTAAAAGTTTAAATACTTTAATTATTTTAAATATTTTAAATATTTTAAATCGGGGCCAGGGGATTTAAAATATTTAAAATATTTAAAATATGTAGGCCCCAAATCAGCTTAAATATTTTAAATATTTTAAATCGGGGGCCCGGGGATTTAAAATATTTAAAATATTTAGGCCCCAAATCAGTTTAAATATTTCAAAAATTTAAATCGGGGGCCCGGGGATTTAACATATTTAAAATATGTTAAATGTTTAAATTATTTAAAATTTAAATCGGCCCCAGCTCCAGAAATCAGGACCCGGGGATTTAAAATATTTAAAATATTGAGGCCCCAAATCAGCTTAAATATATTAAATATTTTACATCGGGGCCCGGGGATTTAACATATTTAAAATATTTAAAATATTTAGGCCCCAAATCAGCTTAAATATTCTAAATATTTTAAATCGGGGGCCCGGGGATTTAAAATATTCAAAATATTTAAAATATTTAAAATATTTAAAATATGTAAAATATTTAAATTATTTAAAAACTTTAAATCGGCCCCAGCTCCAGAAATCAGGACCCGGGGATTTAAAATATTTAAAATATTTAAAATATTTAGGCCCCAAATCAGCTTAAATATTTTAAATATTTTAAATCGGGGGCCCGGTGATTTAAAGTATTTAAAATATTTAAAATATTTGGACCCCAAATCAGTTTAAATATTTCAATTATTTTACATCGGGGGCCCGGGGATTTAAAATATTCAAAATATTTAAAATATTTAAATTATTTAAAATTTTAAATCGGCCCCAGCTCCAGAATCAGGACCCGGGGATTTACAATATTTAAAATATTTAGGCCTCAAATAAGCTTCAATATTTTAAATATTTTAAATCACGGACCCGGGGATTTAAAATATTTAAAATGTTTAAAATTTTAAATCGGCCCCAGCTCCAGAAATCAGGACCCGGGGATTTAAAATATTTAAAATATTTAAAAGATTTATTTGAGCAGCATTGGGCCTGAAATTGCGCTATATATGCAGGAAAGGGTCCCGCGACACATTATACATACTCTACCCTCTTACCCCCCCCCCCCCCCCAACACACACGCAGCGAAACTTCAGTCCACCAATGAGCCATCACCCCCCTTCGGTCTTTTTTAAGGTTGGACCTCCCAATTTCAATGAGGGCGTGTGTGTGTGTTTGGTTTCCCTTTGGCCTCCTATTGAATCCACACAAAACCATAAAAAAGAAACAACATGATGGGAACTTGGATGGCCCCGAAGATTACTAAAAAAAAAAAACTTAGCCAGAACCGTCTGCTTTCTAGCAAAGCAACCAAAAGCACACCAATGTTCAGCCCACCCCCCGGAGCCCCACCCGGCTGGTTGAGCTTCGGGCTTGAGGATGTTCTCCACCCGCGCCGCCACGGTATCGCTGGGGATGGCGAAGCCGATGCCCGCCGACGCGCCGCTGGGGGAGATGATGATGGTGTTCATGCCCACCACCTGCATGGCTTCCCCCAAATTGCCGGTTTGGGGAGTTGAGCCCCGGTCTTGTGCAGGGTGCAAGGGGAAAACCGCCATCTATGGGCTCCAACCATAGGAAGTGGGTGGGCATCCCTTTTTTTTCTTTTTCTCCGAAGGGACCTGAAAGAGACACACCCAATTTGTGGAGCACCACAAGTGGTAAGCATGGGGGTCAGCTTCCCCCAAATTGCTGGTTTGGAGCCCAGTGGGTTGATAGTCAGGGCGGTTTCCCTTTTATCCTGCACAAGAACCAGGGGTGCAAATCCTCAACTGCAAACCGCCATCCATGCGAAGTGGGTCTGTCCTCTTTTTTGGTGGTAGCGTTTTTTTGGGTGTGTGGCGCCAAAGGGAAACCAGGTTGCAGCTAAGCTGAAAGACCAGGAACAAAAAGAAAATGGCTTGGCTTGGGTTGGTCGAGAAAGATGGTTACGGGTATAAAGAACGGTGGCGCATGGGACAAAGGATGACCAGAGTTTCAGCTCAGTGGTTCTCAGAAGGGCCTGCTTGAACAGCTTTGCCTAACCCACCATTTATCCCCGGCCGAGTTATGAGTTGGTTCCAATGTTGCCCGGAAGATCGCCCTCATAGATCGTGATCTTACAGCATGGATCCCTAGAGCTCGTAGTGACGACTGGCTCAAGGGGTTGCCCAAAAGATTTGGCGCGGTCCATCTAACAGCACAAGGCCCTTCTGCAGAAGATGCGAGTGTGGCCCGAAAAGGAGAGGCCCCAATTGCAATCTGGCAAGTAGACCAATGGTGTCTTTTGTCTCCAAAATTGCGAGCCACTTGCGATGACGAGGGAGAACTCCAAAAGCAGATCCGCACGTGAACACAGCAATTGCTATCCTCAAGGGCAGGCAACGATCTCTTGCAAAGCACCTCAAATGCCAAGCTCAGATCATGACTCCGAGTGAACGCTCGATGCCTGACCACGGCTGTTCAGCAGTGGTCCACCGCTGTTCCTTGGGGGCAACGGTCACAAAGTTTAGAGCCTCGGGACTTTTTGAGGCTACCACTTTCACTCCAAGGCAACATAAATCCAGCGCCTAAATCCAGCGCCTAAATCAAGGCAGCTATGGAGCGATGCTGCGCTGCAAGTTGGCTCTGATTTTGACCAGCTTGCACATCCCTCCCCCACCCCCCACCCCAAACAAAAAAAAAAGAGGAGCCTGGCAGTGCATGTGTTTTTTTCCGCGTAGGGTTTTTCTCGAATCCATGGAACCTATTCAGGTTCCGCGGGGCCCCGCTTCCGCGGGGCCAGTTCAGGCGCAGGCCCTGGGTTGATGGAGGCGTCGGTCTGGATGGCGCCCTGGATCGGCCGCCCACCCGTGGACCTAAGAGAGGATCAACTGAGAGCCAATGCCGGAATGCCGAACGGGGCAAACCACCAACCGCTGGCACAAAGGCGCGAACCAAGAAATACACAACCTACATAAAATTATCTTCATCGGTGTACTAGATAACTAAGCTCTTAATTGTGCCAACTACAGTTTGTGAACCTGCTCTACACAACTCGGGTCTCTTCATTGGTGTTGTCCGTCGCCCCTCCATCCCCCAACTTTTTCCCCCCCTCCCCCAGCTTACGAACCAGAAAAAACAAAAAAAGAAGAAAAAAAAACTGCGCCAAAGCGTGCTCAAGCACAGCCCCTTTGAAAGGCCAGTCTTCGTCATTGGCGGCTAGTTTGCAGGGAACACCTGTAGGGTCCTCACATCGTAGATTGCAACTGGTATCGATGCATATGACTGTGGGGATTGACCCTCAGTCCCCCCACTGAGTATTGTCCTTAGTTGCTGCCGCAGCTTGAACCCCCCGCGACTATTTTGACTCTCAGTTGTATTTGAGACATGCATCCAATTTCCAGGATGTGCGCATTTGTTTTTGCTTTTGCCTGGTTGGCAAAAGGCTTGCACGTGCAAGCCTAGCCGCCATGTCAGCGATAGAAAATGCCCCGTGAAAAAACAAAAAAAAACTGGTTGGCGCGCTCTTGCCGAAGGGCTGGATGGTCCTGCCCACGCCAGAGACGATGCCCTGGCCAAGGAAGGACAAGGCACCAATTTGTACTTTCAGCAGGTGAGAACGAAAGCTGCATCCAATACAACCTAACGTGACACCTAAATGAATCGTCCATGGAGGGCAAGCGAAGCCTCGCCAATTGCGACAGAATCCAAGTCTTCCAGCGTATACTCTTTCGCTCCAAGTTCTGTTGCATTTCTCTGTTGGTATATTTTGCAAAGTTGCAAAACAACCATGCAGCTTTTTATCGAGAGAACGATTTGGATACTCCTATTGTGGATTTCAGCTGTCCTCCCCCCCTGTTGGCCCTTTTTTAGAAACCCTTTAGTGCTCTTCTCATGTTTTTACAGGGCTGGATTCACAGATTCGCCCCATCCAAACCGTTGTCTAGATTCCATGGATCGTTTCGGCGCCCTGTCATCGTCCTTCCGGCCTTGGTGAGAGTGTGATCCAGGCCAAACCTCGCGCGACTCCGAGCTCGGATGTCTCAACCCAAGAAGCTGCACGCGAAGCTAACCTCAAACATGCCGTCCGCGGCTCAGCCCTTGCTACTTGAACGGGAGCTGCAAATGCCGCGCGACCGCACAATGTTGGTTCCTCGCTCGCAAACAAAAAGGGTAGACACGCTGCTTTTGAAGGCGCGAAATGCAAGCCGGAAGGCAAAACAATTGCTCGAATTCATGGCAAGATATTGAGGCAATCCATCTTCGCCGAGCTGCGGGTTTCCAATGGCAAAGACTTCCTGCCCCACTCTGAGAGAGGCTGAGTTGCCTCAAGGGCAGAAAGACGAGCCAGGCATGCAGAAGGTGGCCCTACAAATCAGCAGAGCGTGCGCCACAAAAACCGACGGGAAAATGATCACGATCAGCTGCTGAAGTGTGCAGATCCCTCGTCTTTGGATACCTATTGCAGGTCCCTACGGTCCCTCGTCTTTTTGGTGCAGGTCCCTCGTCTTGTTCTTACCCCTTAAAACTCCAAGCCCTGGGGAAGTTAATCTTCTACAGACATATAGCCCATGTTACCCAAAAAGTTGAAAAGCTGTGTTTTTAAGAGGTAAGTGTTTGTTGGCCAACCCATTGCACAATCCCGTGAGCTTTCAAGTAGCCAACTGCTGATGGCCGATGGCCGAGCGCCGGCCTCTGGTGAGGGGCTGCATCATTTTCAGCTGGTTGGGCGGCAAGTCTGCCTGCGCGCCCCGTCTCATCAACATGTGTATATATATATACATATATGTTTATTCATATGTGTGCATATAATATATGCATATATATATATATATATGAATTGGTGCAGAAGCACGAGGCGGAAGTGCTTGATGGCTGCAAAGCCCAACCTATGGCCCACCGAAAGCACCAGGCTTTGGAAGCTCCACCCTTAGAACTTGAAGCACTTGCAAACAAAGCAGCTGGAACTGGGTAAAAGCCGGCAGGGCCGATTAGCATGATGGCACAGCAACTCTCCCCCCCCCCTCCCCGAGGCTTCCTGACTGCTCCCGAAGCCTTCCTGCCTTCCACAGCCCTCCCTCCCTCGTGCCCGTGCCCGCCTGCAGAACCGCCACATCGCTGTAGGGGTCTGCGCCCACTACCTTCGCCACCACCTGGCAAGCCCAGTCAGAAGACCCAAAGACCCCGCCACGAGTCGCAAGAGTAGACATTGGCCCCCGGAAAAAAAAAGGAAAACAAAAGTGACAAACCCAATTGTCAGTACCACTTTTACGGCCTGGCGGTTTGGTCCCTGTTGTGAGGTTCGAGATTTATTGCAACCCTGTCACTAAAACAAATCGTAACATCATCCGAGAGCAAGTGCACTCCCGCGTGTTCAGCAACTGTAGCTAGAGCAAAAAAAACAATGCGGGCGGATGCAGGGGGACGAGGCATCTCGTGAATAACGCACACCCTTTTTCTCACCCACAGACGGCCGTCGCGGCAGCGGCAACGGCAGCACTCGCAAGCAATTCTGCGGGAACCCCGAAAGCGTGACCCGAACAATCTGAGGGTAACTTCGCTGCCTAAAAGTTCACCTTGTGTGAATGGAACCCACTGGGCTGTCCTCAGATCCCCTGCTCCAAGTTTGCCTTGTGGGCAAATGGACACCCAACCACTGAACCAACCAAAAACCCAACAAACAACCAAGGAACCGGTTCTGGGAAACGGATGACGCCCATGTCGGTACCTCAGTTCCTTCGATGAACTTCACGGTGACGAAGCTTGCATTCCTCAGGCTGTTGCCAAGGAACCACATGGGGGGTTGATCAAAAGGTCCCTAAAACATGGGACGACCATTGGTTGGAAAAACCAACCAAAAGATGCCATGTTTACATGGGAATTGTTAACCATGTCATCGGAAGGCCAGGAATATCGATCAAGCCCCACAGTGACTCACCTCTGAGTGGTTGCATTGTGCGAGGAAGCTCTGGCAACCTCTGGCATTTCAAAACGAGCAGCGCTGTTCATCTCAACGTGAAGCATGAAGGGCAAGCCAATGTTGCAAGGCTAAGTACGCATGAAATCAGCCCATCGGCACGGCACTTCAAAAACCACCCGAGACACCCCCGTCTCAGCATGTGCGCTGAGGCACTCGATGACATGATAGTTCGTAACGATGTGCCCCTCGTTGTCGTAGACCTGGGGCACCGCTCTGCAAACTGATCTCAGATCGCCGATGGCCGATCCCGGACTTCCTAAAAGGCCCGTGGGAAGCGAGCACCTAAAATGGTTGGTTGCCTTTGAGCATGTTGGCCCCTTTTGGGACATCCCGAAGGGATTCGGGAGGATGCAACGTTTGGGAGAGCCACCATGGACATTCAACCTCTGATTCATCTGTGATTTGGAGAGCTGATTCGCAGAGCCATGGATGCAGTTGCAACAGCCATGGATCCAGGCCCCTTTTTGCAGCTCATTTAGTACTCTTCAGTTCGGTCAAAAAATGGGAGGGCATGCTCTTGGCATCCGTTTAAAGAGGCCAAAAAGGCCAAGTTGCCAGCCAAATCGATCCTGGGGCAGTGAGCCGAAAAGAAGGCTTAGCAGGTTGCCATCCAAGGGGCATTCAGCATGCCGAACGAGGCTTCGAAATTGAGCTTCAAAGCACCGGGTACAAGTAGGTCATATTCCCCTCCATGCTCCAGCACGAAAACACGCGCAGGTCCTTGAACTCCGGCACTGCTGGACTTGCCGTAGGCGAATGCAATCGCGGAACGTTGGGGGAAAATCTTGGGGGGCAATCCCTTGCTAGGGAAAAATCCGTAGCCTCCTCCAGGGAGCCCCACCCAGCCACTGCCTTCGCCCTTGGGCACAGCCTGCGGACGCACTGAGCCATAAAGGTCTGTCTGGAAGGTTCTTTGGAGAATGCTGTGCGGGTACGTGAATTGCTGCACTTGAAGTGGTTGCATCCTGTGGATTCTGGGGCTTTGCTTCCCAGCCGCGCACTGGGCATCCTGTTGTTGAAATCTTGTCCTGGAAGGCACCCCCTCTGGTGGCCTGGCTGCAGTGTTTTGCTCTGCCGCAAAAAGTCACACCTACGCATTCTCAAAACCACGTTCAGAATGACGCGTCTTCAGTCATTTGGCAGAGTATCTAATCTTACCGTTGCTATTGCATTTCTGTGTTTGAGTGTGTTTGGTGTACTGAGAACTGGCAGCTGGCCACCGAAAGACAAACCTGAACAATGCGCCCTGCTGACACTTTGACACGTTTTCGCTTGGCCGGCCGGAATGAGTCTAGGCAGTGCCCATAGGCTCGAATGCTAGGCTATGGCGGCAAAACCTACAAGAACATCTTCAATAATCAGCCCACAGCCTAGAGTCCCAGTGACTTTGCGATACAAGTCTCCCCAAGACTGGCCAACCCAGAACTGCGATGGCAAGCCAAGGTCCCGCGCCTGGATTTCCATCTTCCGGGCATTTTTGGACAGCTGGAACACCTGAGAACGCGCGCAGGGCGCTTGCCACACACCCGGTCCATTCCCACCCGACGGGCAAAGCATCAGTAGCAGCCTCCAATTGGTGGTTTAGTGATTAGGGAGTGGGTTCCCATGTACCCTCTACAAGAAGCAGGGCTTCAACTTCGGATCCAAACCACCAATCCCAACTACCAACTAAGGGTTATCTGAAAGCATGGACCCCCCGCCACCCCAAAACCAAAAAACGACCGAGGTTAAACAGCGCGGCACATTGTTTTGAATGCGAGAAGGGCTCAAGCCATGCAAACAATGGCCCAGGTGTCTTCAAACAAACCAACAGCACCAGTACCCAAGTAGTGCTCGCCCCACCTCCGTGGTGATGTACACCACTCCAGGCGTGTTCTGCTGGAACCTCAGGGTAACACCCCTTGAAGCATGCACAGCGGGGGCCAGTTTGCCAACTCAACCGATTTTGCATCTCAATTGGCCTGGGGTGCAGCACCTTCATTCGGCCGGGCCTGGGGACCGGCAGGGCCCATCCATCCTCTTGGGACGGGCAGTGAGGAAAGCAACATAGGAGCAACGACACGGGCGGTTTTCCTTTCGGCTTCCCTAACATTCGCCGGCCCAAAAAGTGACCAAGGGATCCAAGTGGCAGACTTCGATTAATTTACCCGGTGGCAGGCCTCAGCTCATGTTCCCAGATTCCGATCACAATGTCCCGAAGCCAATCAAAAGAGTCACGCCCCAGGCTGCGGCAAGTCCACGGTCTGAGACTCTGCGGGCGACAGGTCCTCAAACGCCTCGTGCCACGTGCACGGCTCGGCTCGCGCGGCGTTGGTAACCGGCGCGCGGAAAGCCGCGGGCAGGCGGAGGGTTTGGATACGTCTATGTCCCATCTCTGTAATCTCAGGGCCTCTTGTTTTCAAAGGCTGGCAAGAAAAAGGGAGGGGAGTCAGGTTACTGCAAATTGATGGAAATGGGGATTAACCTGCTGAATTCTGCGCGTTGTTTGACAAGGAAGGGAAATGACCCTGCGCACCCCACAATGAATTCATGCTTGGTTCTGGCAAGGCCCAAGGCCACAACAAATTCAAAGGACTCTGAAGAAAAAATCACAAGAGGGACTTCACCGAACTATGCCAAGCCTGCACGGCGGGCAGCGAGCTGGCCTTGGGAGCTCCCAAGTCTTGGCTTCGAAAGAGAGGAGGAGGAAAAAAAAAAAGGCCGGCACACCTGCGATTGCAACCAGCGGGTGTTTGGCTCTCCAGCTGTTTGCCAATCTGGTGGTGCCAAAGCCACGTGTTCAAGCAACCTGCTCCTCGTTGACTGACACTGGCAAGTGAGACGGCTCCAGGTTCAGTTGGTGGTTGCAGCCCTCAAAGGTCACTCAACCTGTTCTTCAATGACTGGCCCTCCACTTGAGTCACAATCAAAACCCGGTATTAAAATGGTCTACCCAGAACCATGTCAACAAGGCAGCCGCAGCTACTATGGTTGGGATCGTCCCTTGTTAACCTTCATCTACCCAGATTGTGGCGCGCCTGTTTTCGTGACATCTCAGCTGAGCTGGGCCCTCCCGCCACTGCAAGCAGCACAGCCAGCATGGCGGCGCCCAAGCCGCTGGCAGCGCGAGCGGCCAAGCTCTCGCCCTCCGGCCTGGCAGCTTCGCAGCGCTGACAAAGCATTGGAATGCAATCAAATCTTGGGAGAATCAAATCGATCCAATCAATCGAACAGAATCCAAGAATCCAATCAATCGATTAGAATCCAATCAATCGAATAGAATCCGATCAATCCAATCAATCAATTAGAATCCAATCAATCCAATCAATCAAATCAATCAAATCAAGCAAATCAATCAAATCAATCCAATCAATCCAATCACTCAAATCAATCAAATCAAGCAAATCAATCAAATCAATCCAATCAATCCAATCAATCAAATCAATCAAGTCAAGCAAATCAATCAAATCAATCCAATCAATCCAATCAATCAAATCAATCAAATCAAGCAAATCAATCAAATCAATCCAATCAATCCAATCAATCAAGTCAAGCAAATCAAGCAAATCAATCAAATCAATCGATTAGAATCCAATCAATCCAATCAATCCAATCAATCAAATCAATCAAATCAATCAAATCAATCGATTAGAATCCAATCAATCCAATCAATCCAATCAATCAAATCAATCAAATCAATCAAATCAATCAAATCAATCGAATAGAATCCAATCAATCCAATCAATCCATTCAATCGAATAGAATCCAATCAATCCAATCAATCCATTCAATCTAATAAATTGATTGGAATCCAGGCAATCCAATCAATCGAATAGAATCCATTGAATCCAATCGATCCAATCAATCGAATAGAATCCATTCAATGCATTCAATCCAATCAATCCAATCAATCGAATAGAATCCAATCAATCCAATCAATCCAATCAATCAAATCAATCAAATCAATCGATTAGAATCCAATCAATCCAATCAATCCATTCAATCGAATAGAATCCAATCAATCCAATCAATCCATTCAATCTAATAAATTGATTCAAAACCAGGCAATCCAATCAATCGAATAGAATCCATTGAATCCAATCGATCCAATCAATCGAATAGAATCCATTCAATGCATTCAATCCAATCAATCCAATCAATCGAATAGAATCCAAGCAATCCAATCAATCCAATCAATCGAATAGAATCCAATCAATCGAGTAGAATCCAATCAATCCAATAGAATCGAATCAATCGATTAGAATCCAAGCAATCCAATAAATCCAATCAATCGATTAGAATCCAATCAATCCAATCAATCCAATCAATCGATTAGAATCCAATCAATCCAATCAATCCAATCAATCCAATCAATCCAATCAATGCATTCAATCCAATCAATCGATTAGAATCCGCTCAATTCAATCAATCCAATCAATCGATTAGAATCCAATCAATCCAATCAATCCAATCAATCGAACAGAATCCAAGCAATCCAACAAATCCAATCAATCCATTAGAATCCAATCAATCGATTAGAATCCAATCAATCGATTAGAATCCGATCAATCCAATCAATCAAATAGAATCCAATCAATCCAATCAATCGAATAGAATCCAATCAATCCAATCAATCCAATCAATCCAATGAATCCAATCAATCCAATCAATCGAATAGAATCCAATCAATCCTATCAATCGAATAGAAACCATTCAATCCAATCAATCCAATCAATCGCTTAGATTTCAATCAATCCAATCCATCCAATAGAATCCAATCAATCGAATAGAATCCAATCTATCCAATCAATGCAATCAATCAAATAGAATCCAATCCAAATCCAAACAATCAATTTTGGAATCCAATCAATCCAATCAACCGAATAGAATCCAATCAATCCAATCAATCCAATCAATCGAATAGAATCCAATCAATCCAATCAATCCATTAAATCCAATCAATCGAATAGAAACCATTCAATCCAATCAATCCAATCAATCGAATAGAATCCAATCAATCCAATCAATCCAATCAATCGATTAGAATCCAAGCAAGCCAATAAATCCAAACAATCGATAAGAATCCAACCAATCGATTAGAATCCAATCAATCCAATCAATCGATTAGAATCCAAGCAATCGATTAGAATCCAATCAATCCAATCAATCGATTAGAATCCAATCAATCCAATCAATCCAATCCATCGAGTAGAATCCAATCAATCCAATCAATCCAACCAATCGAATAGAATCCATTCAATCCAATCAATCCAATCAATCCAATTAATCGTTTAGAATCCAATCAATCCAATCAATCGACTAGAATCCATTCAATCCAATCAATCGAATTGAATCCAATCAATCGAGTAGAATGAAAAATCAATCCAATCAATCCAATCAATCGATTAGAATCCAATCAATCGATTAGAATCCAATCAATCCAATCAATCCAATCAATCGATGAGAATCCAAGCAATCCAATCAATCGATTACAATCCAATGAATCCAATCAATTCAATCAATCGACTAGAATCCAATCAATCCAATCAATCGATTAGAATCCATTCAATCCAATCAATCGAATAGAATCCAAACAATCCAATCAATCCAATCAATCCAATGAATCGATTAGAATCCAATCAATCCAATCAATCCAATCAATCGAATAGAATCCATTCAATCCATTCAATCCATTCAATCCAATCAATCGTTTAGACTCCAATCAATCCAATCAATCGATTAGAACTCACTCAATCAAATCAATCCAATCAATCGAATAGAATCCAATCCATCCAATCCATCCAATCAATCCAATCAACCGAATAGAACTCAGTCAATCCAATCAATCCAATCAATCGATTAGAATCCAATCAATCCAATCAATCCAATCATCCAATCAATCGATTAGAATCCAATCAATTCAATCAATCCAACCAATCGATTAGAATCCAATCAATCCAATCAATCCAATCAATCCAATCAATCCAATCAATCGATTAGAATCCAATCAATCCAATCAATCCAATCAATCCAATCAATCCAATCAATCCAATCAATCGATTAGAACCCAACTAATCCAATGAATTCAATCGTTTAGAATCCAATCAATCCAATCAATCGATTAGAATCCAATCAATCCAGTCAATCGATTAGAATCCAATCAATCCAATCAATCAACTAGAATCCAATCAATCCAATCAACCCAATCAATCGGTTAGATTCCAATCAAATTAGTTCTTGATCAGTGAGACTTTGATCAATGAGAATCCATCTTGACCACTCCCAATCATGACCAAGATTGGATAGATCTTCTTGACCCGTGAGAACCCAAACAATCCAATCAATCGATTAGAATTCAATCAATCCAATCAATCCAATCAATCCAATCAATCCAATCAATCCAATCAATCCAATCAATCCAATCAATCGATTATAATCCAATCAATCCCATCAATCCAATCAATCCAATCAATCCAATCAATCGATTAGAATCCTCTTTTAATCCAATCAATCGATTAGATTCCATTCAATCCAATCAATCGATTAGAACCCAATCAATCCAATCAATCCAATCAATCCAATCAATCCAATCAATCCAATCAATCCAATCAATCCAATGAATCCAATCAATCCAATCAATCCAATCAATTCTTGATCAGCGAGATTTTCATCAGTGAGAATCTATCTTCACCATTCCCAATCATCTTGACCAAGATTGGATAGATCTTCTTGATCCGTGAGAACCCAATCAATCCAATCAATCAATCAATCAAAATCCAATCAAAGAGGGAATTGTGTAACTTGTCTATATATAGCCCCTATTGCAGCAAATCCAACGCAGTGCAGGCACACTGACAGGCCCTTTAAGGCCCCAAATGCAGCTGAGGTTCACATGGGCAGAAATTTGAGGTCATTCCGCCGAGATTGGCCAAACCAAATGCCGGTGCGTCCTGAGCTGTCCTCAGATCCCCCGCTAACAGTTTAACTCTTAGTGGAACAAAGGGGAAAACCGCACTAAACACTACTAGGTCCTCCAGTAAGGAGGTTAGAATAAGGGTACCCTTCTTTCTGTAGTCTATTTTAGTAGGAGAACCCTCCCCCCCAAAAAAGAGGGGTAAAAGGGCACTACTGGGGGACCAAAGGGTAAAAGGGCACTACTGGGGGACCTGGACTAAAAAGCTAAAAAGCTTAGGAACCGGATGGCTGGGAGCCACCAAGCCTCGGTGATTTCTTGAGGCGTTGCCACTCGCTTTGCCACTCGCTTGGTGGTCTCTGGGCGTGGCCTCTCAGCCGGCTCTGGTCTTCGCAGGTAGCTCCTGCAAGCTAAACGCACTGAACAGATTCGCTCTGGCGCTTGCTTGGATCTTTGAAGCTTGCCCTGTCTTTCTTGTGAGGGGACGGGTGGACAGTTCCTTCAAGAGTATTTTCTGCATGTCATTTTCCGCCCCCAAACCTTGCTCACACTTCACACGGACGTCGCCTCTCATGTCCTTTCCCGGCCACCCGATCAAAACGCGGCCAAAAAAAAGACGCTGCGCTGGCTAGCGGTCTTAAACCAAGCCACACAACTCACGGTTGGATCCTCTTTGGGAACCCTTGGCCTCCGTTCACCGAAATGCCGGGCGCGGCCGCAAAAGAAAAGCCGAAAGCTCCCAACTCGCTCTCCGTGAACAGACCCTGGGCGGCCTTGCCACTTAGCATACAAACGCAGATTTCCAGCGGTCAGCGGCATACTCGATGCTTGGCTCAAGATCCTCCTTTGGCACGCTCTGTTTGGAGAAGATCTTCGCTGCAATCTGCTGCGGGTGATACTGTAACAGTACCCCGAAGCGCACTACAACCCCCGCTGCAAGCTGACAAAAGCGCAAACATTCTCAAACACAAGTATGAACACAAGGCGAAAGCATGAACCGCCCCACATCTCCCCACTGAGCTGCAAGTCCCGGCAAAGTCAAATGTCGTCTCCGGAGCCTGGGCTGCTCAAAGTCAAGAACCGCCAGTGCCATTTTTGGTTACTTAGGTGGTGCGTTTTATGGACTTCGCAACCATCCACAGTAAGGTTGATTCCTTGTCCATTCTTTTCAGCCATCGTTCTTTTCAAGAACCGATCGCCATTTCCCCCAGGGTGGTTGGCGGTTTTCTAGAAACTCGGATCCCTGGAAAGAATGGGGAAGTTACCCCTAGAAAGAACTCAATTGTTCGCCTGCTTCGGGAGCCTGCGAGAGGTGAGGCGTCTGCAGCCAGGATGCCTTCGTCTGGTCCGGGGTACTCCTCGTCAGACTCCTTTGCCTTGTCGGAGCCATTGCCCCAGTTGACTTCCTAGGCGCAGTCCAGCCAAAAGAAAGACAAAGCTCCAAGCTTCACGAATGGGTGTGTCTCAACATAGGGGTGTGGGTCAACAAAAGGTGCCCAAAATAGATTGCCCTGGTAAGTGGAAAGAAGTAAAACCTGCGGTCTTGGAAAAAAATGATACATACACATAGCACCAGCATCGAATGCAAGGGGGCAGATCTTCCATTTGTTGTCAAGCCGTCCCCTGGCCGAAAAAAAGCAGTGGTGAACGATGTCCTCTTCAAAACCAGGGGAATAAAACAACTTCAGCAGATGGGTGTGTCGTTTTTTGAGGCTACCTTTATGTTGGTGGTTTAAACGACCAGAAAACCGAAGCCACTTAAGGGAGGTCCGATACCCAAAAGAAGACGAGTCCGTCTGTCTTGGTTAGGGAATCCCCCCAAATGGTGGCTTTCCTTTTGGTGCTCCTTCAAAACCAACCAAACCGACGTTCCCCCCCCCCCCAAAAAAAAAAAAAAGAATGATAAAAGCTAGACCCAAATCCACGGACGGAGGAGCCTGGCCCAAGCAGATGCAGGATAGAGGGGACACCGCAAGTTGGTGCCTATGACTCAGCTACGGCTGATGGCGAAGTGCATGCCAAAAGTTTGTACCGGCGACCCTTGCAACAAGTGGTATCATGACTAGAGTTCGGCCGAGTTATGGAGTGTATTCTTTATTGTTTGCTTCACATCAAGTCACTGGTAAAATGTAAAATGTGTCCTAAGTCTAACCCAGGTATTGTTCTAGACTGCGGATGGGCAAAATCCTGCACCAGCTAAGAAACCCTGGAGTGATTCGATTCTCCTGTACATACCAATGAAGAGTGGTTTCCAAGGGCGTGGGGCGCGACATGGATTTCGTCCATCCACAGTACCTCTGAATATGTTACGGATTGAGACGGCTTCAGCTTCGAGCTGACGCCTGATCTTGAGGGTGACCTATCTTGACTAGAGTGCGGCGTGGGTGTGCGCCGCGGGCGTCCATGGAACTAGCCTCGGTCGAAAGCCCTTCCTCGCATGAAGCGCCGACAGCACACGATTCACCGACCCGCAAATGTTTGAAGGGGCGCAAGTTGATGATCCGAACTACATGTCCGTCATATACAAATACACACATATCTAAGCACGCACACTTTTGCCTGATGTATGCGCTTGCTTAAAGCCCACTATCCAGGCGTCAGCGCTAAAGGGGTTGAAGTTGTTGGCCTCCGACTCCAGACTTCTCGCGCTCGAGTCCTTAGAGTGCAACATAGTGTAACACACCCCGCCCACAGTCAATGGCTTTGGCAGCTGTGAAGAAAACTCGGCAGCTCTCAAGCTTACGTTCTGTCACAAAGTGAACCCTCAAACAACTTGGAGGAAGAAGCTGATCCGAATTGTGCCACACCCATGGCTCAAGTCGAGCAAATGCAGCAAGTACATCTTCACTTCTGAATTAAGGGCTTGTCTATGCTCGGTGGAGTCTGGGGACTATATTGGCCCTGGCTTTTCAAGCAGACCTCACTGGGAACAGAGGCAACCAGGCAAGCAGGGTCGAGCAACTCCTCAAATACTCACTAAATCTATTTGCTCCTGGTACTTGTGATGGTCCCAGTTTGACGCTCTTGGCCATGTTGGACCACACTCTGTGTTTTCGTGTCGCAGAACTAGCTCCCACGGAGCTGGCTGATGAAAACAGAAGCAAACACTGGATGCCCAAGGTTTTGCAGCTTGTGCTTTTCACAGGGAACATCAGGAGCCAGGCGCTTAAGTGACCGTCAAGCGCTGGAAGAAAGAGGTGCCATGCACAAGAGACCAAGAACAGCGCGAAAAGTGTAGAACAAGTTGAACGGGCAGAAGCATGCAGACAATGGGCACGGAACCACAGAACAAGCAGGCAAAAGAACAGCCAGAGCCGGCGATGGGCGACGGAGAGTCAGTTTCTGGGTGGGGGAGGGGGGGTAACACATTTACATCCGTGCGATTTGGTTGATACCCCAACACTAGCGTCAAACAGAAACATATGTATTCACGAATTTAAAGAAACTGGTTTAGACTTTCCCTGGGGCAAGAGCGAGACAACGGTGTGGAGGTGCAACAAGATCTTTGGGCTGGCACCTAAGAGAAGACAAATATCCCGAAGCTCCAGGGGTTGATTCCCCATTCTGTTCAACCATCGTTCTTTTAGAAAGCCTGATTTTTTTCCCCTGCATTTTTGATGGTTTCCTGAAAGGAAGGATCCCTGGAGAGAATGGGGAAGGTACCCCTAGAATCTTCGCCCGCAACAGCAGCCCCCGCAGCCATGTTCCAAGCAGCTGCCGCTGCCGGGCTTGCCGTCGCCAAGTCCGCGAGATCGGTGCCTGCCAACGGACGTCAATGATTCAATGGGGCCTCTGAAATTGCACCTCTCAAAAAATGTTCACAAACAAGCTGTCTCATCTTGGTTGCTGTTGAAAAAAACCTCTGCAACAAGTGAATATTTGTGTGTGTGTATGTGTGGCCAATTCGGAAAAGCCGCTGTTTCAACCAAACAGAAAAAAGTCCAAAAGTCCCACCAAATCGCCAAAAAGTCACTGAGCTCCTTGCATCCATATAAAACTGTCCGCCTTCCCCCTTTTACGATGCTAAGGTGCAACCGCACACGGGTCTGTTTTTTGGGGGACCCCCAAAACGTGTGGGTGTCCTTTTGGTTCCCCTTGTATACCCAACTCCCCGCCCCCCTCCCGAAGCGGAAGGCCCGCCTTTGGCCACCGAGCCGGGGCTTTGCGAGGCCCGCGCCTGCCAAGTCGCACGGCTCTGTCACAGAACACCCAGAAGTCGTTCTCGTGCGAGGATTGGCGGTTGGGACTCAATAAGTTTCATTCTTGGGCCAAGTAAACGCAAAAATGGATTCACTGGTTGGGGTGGGTCGGGGTGGCTTGGGGTGATTTGGGGTGGGTTGGGGTGGGTTGTGGGTTGGGGTGGGTTGGGTTGGTGTATAACTTGACGAGGCCTGACTTCAGCAAGTCAGTGCTGGTGAGAATGACTTCTTCTGCCTTCGGACTTTGTCGTCACCAAGCATTCGGGCCATGCTTCTATCTACCGATAGATCCCTCCGCGGTCCGCGATATCAGGCTGCTGCCGCCAGTGTTGCCCGCTCAACGGATTCCACGCGCACACAACAAGCTTTCGCGAGGCTTCCGCGCACCGTCGTGCTTAGCAAGGACAATTTGTTGCATGCTGCCACAGCACTAGCTTATGCAAGGCCTTTCCGGCCCGAACGCAGAGCTCGAGTTCCATGATTCAATACAAGAGTAAGTAGTACTCAAAGGGCGTTTTGACTTTTCACAGCTCCCAGCTCGCAACTTGCAGCTTGTGCAAGCGCAGGCCGCAAAGCAGAGAGTGGCAAGGTGTCAGGGTCACAGTTGCAGAGATTTCCCGAATTGCTTCCTGCCAGGTTCCAACTTTTTAGTAAAAGTCGCGTACACGCAGCTTACGCAAGGAAATTGGTAACAACATGCCTTATATGCACTTGCAGCCTGCATGTTTAGCTTCTGCGGGGGCTGCGTCATTATAAGCCCTCGGCTAGCAAGCATGAATAGAAGGTTTCTGGCGCTGCCCATATGGAAATCAGTGAGGGATGTTCTGCCAGATTTGGTTGAATGCGCAGGGCTACTCCTACAAAATGCAGCGACAAACGAAGCAGAGAAACCCTCAGACGTCATGTGAGTCGCAATCAAAACCTGGTACCAAATTGTCTACCCAGAACCATGTACAGGAATAAGAAGGCGGATATCTGCAGCTCTTTATGGCTGGGATCGTCCCTTACTAACCTTCACCAATCCCCGGGTTTTGAGCACGTGGCTCATGTGCCACACAGCTTCCCAGTAACTCCTCCTCTGGCTGCTGCCAAGTGCCAAACCCGCTGTCCCTCCGGCCTCCTCAACTACTGCAGCCTCTGCGGCGTCTGGTGCCCCCAGCAACTGCAGCGTTCGGAGAGCTTGAAATTCTTAAGGCAAGATGCACTCCGAACTTGATTCTACCTGATGGGTGTCCTTTTTGCTTGAAGAAAAACCACAAGCGAAAAACAAGAACACTTTGCTGGGGGGCTGTCCTCAATCTCCCGCTCAAAGTTTAATCTTTAGCGGGTGACATTCAGAAATCCAACCCACAAACTCACTATAGACCCATTTTGGGCCGGGCTTACCACCCAGTTTTTGGTTCTTGGGGCCCCTATGGTTTTAAGACCCCCCCTTCTTCTGAAGATGGCCAGCAGCTTCCCCTTCCCCTTCCCACCTGCAGAGTGGTCGCCACCAGCTGCGGCGAGACCTTCTTGGCGCTCGCGGCGGCGGCCAGCTTCCGGAACCAGCCTCGAAAAGGAGAGGCGGGGGGCTTGGGGGCTTGGGGGCTTTGAGGTTGAGGGGTTGGGGGGGTTCGGGGGTTGAGGGGCAGTTGGGGGGGGTTGGGGGGGTTGGGGGGTGTGGGGGGGTGGGGTGTGGGTGGGGTGGGGGGCCTGGGGGGCGGGGGTTGTTCTGTACCCTTTTAGGGAGGTCTGCCGTTTTGGGATTCGGCAGGTTATACTAATTATGTCCGCGTCGGCCCCTTCAATCTAACCCAGTGGAACCTGTTTCCAACCAAACTCACCGATCAAAGGGAGACCAACGGTCAGGAATCGCAGCTTGCCACACTGGCCCCCAAGCCACAGCTGAGTGGAGCTAAGCAGCCGTTGAGGCGCGCGGTGGTGCCTGTGCAAGACATGGACACGGCGGCCGGCGATTTGAAACCCAAGCGGCGGCCGGCGATTTGAAACCCAAGCGATGCTTTGGACATGACTTGCCCTCTCGGAGTGGCCCGGGGGGAAACCCCCAGAAAACACGGCCCAACCACAAATCCAGGGGTACCTTCCCCATTCTTTCCAGGGATCCTTCTTAGAAAACCTCCGGAAACCCATGGAAAGCGGGTTTTTGAAAAGAACGATGGTTGAAAAGAATGGACAAGGAGTCAACCCCTAGAGCAAAAGCCTGCCGCGAAGCAGCGAAGCTTTTCGCGCGCGCCTGGCATGTGCAGGCTGGAGGCGAAGTGCGCCTGGCCAAAGATCTCCCGGTATGAGGCGCCCAACCTCACGACATGGGGCGAAAACGGGGGATTAAACAGGCACCCGTCGACCCCCATGGCGGAAACCACACCCAAGGTTTCCAGCTTTCAGAATTTCAGGACGCGTCCAGCCCTCATTTTCCCGCCCTAGGTCAAGATCTCAACGCAAGCTGCGCCGGCCAATGCGCTTTTTCATTTACCGCCAGGGAGGATACGACTCGGAAGTGGCGCCTTTACATGCCACAGGTGGGCATTTGACCCCTGTACAAGCTGAGCCAGGTGGCCATGCCCGCTGTTGGGGCCCCTGGCCACCTGTCTGCCCGGGAACAAATGTCCTGCCCAAGTTCGGGCAAGAGACAAAACCGGAAGACGTGCAAAAGCCGGGGTGTTCCCCTCAAAAGTGGCCCAAAGGCCACTAATGGCCTATGGATTCGCGCTTTCAGACTGACACAGGGTGGCCCTCGACCGCTGCAACTGCAGCCAATGACCTGACGCGAAGCATGTTGGAGCAAAGCACATGCCAATCGCTCCGAGACGTATATCTGCCGAGGCTCTTCGAGTCAGCTGCTTCCAGTGCCGTGCGCTCCTGCGAGCTTGCAGCCGGAAAACGCCACTCCGCCTCTGCTCCTTCTGCCTCTGCTCCTTCTTGATGTGGATCAGATGTTTTGTATGGCGGTGCATGCAAAAGGTTCAAGGCTGCCACCCAGAACGGGCATGCAAACGCAAGAATGGTGGCGTCAGACCCCTGAATGGGGAACGGTAGCCACGAGCCAAAAGCCAAGCAGGAAGAGCTCCAAGCAAATCAAGCTCAAGAGCTTAGGGATGTCCCCCCCCCCCCGCCGTCAGTAGCTCGTCCCTTCGCGCCTTGATTGCCAGAAGGTGGCTTGGGAGATGGCCTTTGGAGCGCCAGCGCTTGCCTACGGGATGGTAATTGGTGGGTCTTCCGTGAGCCGCCACACAAAGCAAAAAAGAACTACAGCGCGCACACACACACACACAACACACACACACATGCTTGCACAACAGGGTTCATGAGGCGTTCTTTCATGCACGCGCGCACACCTACAGGATCTCTATATATATATATAAATCTAATCACACACGCACACTTTTTCGCACACAAATATATATATATATATAATATATATACACATATATACACATATACAAACTGACAGAGGCAGTCTGAAGAATCGTTGCACCCATTCCAAACCTTGTCCCCAGTCGCCAAGCCTCGCCTGCCGCAATGGCCAGCGCGCCCACGAGGGAAATCAGCGACCAGTAGGCGCCCGGCGCTGGCCAGCTGGTCGCGTCCACCAGGGCCGCGTCGGCCAGGGCGGCGCTGCCGCCGATCAGAGCCATGGAGAAGTTGAAGGACACCCCGAAGCCCAGGGCCCGCACGTGGATGGGGAACAAGTCCGCCACGAAGATGTAGACATGCGAGGCGCCGAGGCCTTGACCAGGTGTGAAGTGACCAACGATTTGCCGTGCAGGCTCAACAAGTGCCCTGCACCCCCCCAAACCCCCATTTGCTTCGATTTGCAATCAAACGCTGCGTAAACCCGAAACGTGGGGTCAAGATGTTCCGCCAGGATGCCCACCGCACAGCCGAAGATGAGGCCGTAAGCTACGATCGACATCAGCAGAAGATGCTGGCTGCTGCTGATTGCCCAGAAGACCGGCAGGCCGGCGGCTGCCAAGACCAAGGACCCAGCCAGCATCACCCACATGGGGTCGCAGCGGCAGCATAGGTCATTCAGCATTGGCAGGGAAGCCCAGCAAATCGTCACCGTGCCTGAGTCAGAGGCGGTGAACCATCTCTGCAATCCAAGCAAGCGGACTCGCTCAAATTCTCGAAAACTCTGGCATCCTGGAGCCTCTCGGGAACTGTGGAACCGGGCGCCACGCCCCAAGCATCAAATACGCCTCAAGGTCCCAACACTGATACTATTATTACTCCATTATGATTACCATTATTATTATTACTATTAATATTATTATTATTATTATTATTATTAAAAAGAGAGCCCCCCACAAGCACCCCAGAAATCGCCCCCCAAGCGCAATCGCCCGCCCGCCCCCATCCACGCGACCCCCGCCTGTGAAGATGCATCCCGCCAGCAGCGCTTCCGTGTGGTCCATGCCACGGGACTTCAAGTAGGACGTGCACCTCAGATCCCCGCCGCTCCGTGCGCTTCTTTTTTCTGTTTGCTTTTTTCGGGAGCCACTGTGGATGGACTTGTTGTTTTCCCGTTTTTATGTTTCCGTTGTTGTTGCTTTCCGGGAGCCACTGCGGATGGTTGCGAAATCCATTTCGCAGCATGGTTGAAATAATTGCTTGTTGGTATTTACAGGGGTAATCATCAGTCCAGGGTTTCTGAGGTGCTGCGTTTGATGGATTTCGCAACCATCCACAGCACAAGAAACGCTGCAACTTAGCCCTCGCCACCCAGCCCGATCATGTCACAGCCGATACAACATGAAGACACCTGGCATAGCCATGGGTCAAAACCCAAATCGTACCCCCAGTGAACATCCCAATCCAACCACTAAAATAGGTTCTAAAATGGGTGGTTCGCCTACCCCAATATGGGATCCCATTGGTTTTGACCCACAGCCATATTGCAGCATGCAAAGTCGGTGAGCGCACTGGAAACATGCACACTTTGCTTACCCATCTCCACAAGTATCCCTTATGTGTTCAAGCTTTGGTCCGCCTTGTCTGCCTGGGCAGGCGAGTTGCGAAAAGCCTGCGCTGAAGCATGGGGCCCACCGCCTGTTGGCCACCTACAAGGCCAAGATGCTCGATTCCTACCAGCCAACGTCCGAAGAAACTTTGCCAAACCGTCACCACCTTCATTCGCCAGGGCGCCAAAGCCCCGAGAAATAGTTCACTGCCGTGGGTGTCACTCCCAAAAAGCCGACGAACAGTGCCTCAGCTTGCTGTCCTTGCATGGACCATGGGATGAACAAATGCCGCGTGTACCTGCAGCAAGCTCCCAGCTTTCGCAAAAACCACCAGCCTTAGGGAGCCCCTGCAATCGTGCCAGCGAGTTACAGACTGCCCCCTGAACACCGCTAAAGAGACCCATCCAGAGGACACCCCGACTGATTCGAGCCAAGCAGCCAAGGCGTGGTGGCGCAAAGACCTCCAACTGTCCAGCTCAAGTTACATTCACTTGGAAGCGGACGGGTGTGCCGTGGTTCCTCAAATTCTCCGAGTGTGGCATCTAGCTTGGAGTGCCACTTGTGACCTCTTTCGAGTTGCTTCCAATGATGGGCTGGGAACGACCTTTGACCCAGACTTGAGACCCAAGCCCCGATGGCAGGAAAACAGACTGACTTCGCGTGCAAAACCCCACCACGGCTACAACAGTGACTGACTCTGATAGACTTCCGAGAACTCCGGTGGCCATTCTGTAAACCGCAGCTTTGGTCGTTTTCAGAGACCTCAAGCCGCTCAAGCCACGTGCTCCGCTGGTCGGGCCTTGACAGGGCCTTGACAACCCGAAAAACCGGCAAATACGAAAACACGGCGGCTCTCCCGCCTGCACGGCAGTGCCTGGCCGGTCACGTGAACCCGAAGATGAAATTCTTAAAGCCCACGTCACTAGAATTGTGTAGGGGGCTTCTTGACAGTTGCTTCATGCAACTGCTTGACCGCTTGAGTTTTGTTCAATGCGTTGCAAGTGCGAAGGCTTCTGAAACAGGAAAACATATTTGTCGCCAGGTCATAGTCCGGGGTCAACATGACCAACCGGAAGTGGTTGCCCCCTTTGGAACGTTGACTGTTTCATGGACAATGGGGAAACTGGGCATGAAATTGAATTCAGGACTCTCTGGTCGGCATCATTTAGGTGGGGATTCATGTCCGAGCCCTTTGGAGGTGCTCCCTATTAAAATTCGTACCGCATGACTCTCCCTCCAAAGCTGACATCCACTTCCATGGTTGTTGCACACACTCAGTTGCCCAAAAAGCCCAGAAACATCAGCTTCACCTTCTGTGACCTTTACACAAATTGAACCAAAACTCCGAAGCCAAAAGCTCCAAAGGTCAAGGCCTTGGCACCCAGTCGCCAAGGCAGCCACTGGGAGGATTTCCCCCGGCCTCCGTCCGCACCTCCGCGACGTGCTCCGCGAAGTCCGCGGACTCCGTGAGGCGATAGCGGCCCCAGAGAGAGACGGCTCCTGGCGCTGGGCTGGGAACCTCCACCAAACTGGGCGGAGCTTTTGGAGTTGGATGCCAAGGCCTTGACCTTCGGACCTTCGGGTTTCGGAGATTTGGACTTTTGGACCTTTTGGCTTCGGAGTTTTGGCTTCTTCTTAGTACAAGAGTCCCAGAAGGTGAAGCTGACATTTCCGGGTCCCTTGGGCAGCTGAGTGTGTCCGACATGGAAGTGGACAGGGCTCCCCAGAAGGAAACGAGTCTTCCAGAACGTTCCTGTCAGCTTCTGTGATTGTTGGAGGCTTTTTGGTGGGCCCGGCCTTGTTTGGCTGGGGCTGAAGGGAAATCGGACACCAAAGCGAAGAAAACAGTGCTTTTGCTTTGCTGGGCGCTCCGTTGTCAGCATCCCCCGCTGAAAGTGAGTTTCACTTGCATGCATGGAACCCCCCCAAAAAAAAGGAAGTCAGCTGGTTACAGCAGGTTGGTAAGTTTCAGTGGGGGAGCCAAAGGAAATTTGAAGCGAAAGGGACGCCACTGACACTGGCCCGCCGGAGCATCGCAGCAAGGGCACCCAAAGAAGGATTTCAGGGTTGCCGACATTCAGTCCTGGCACCAGCGACAGGAGAAACGGCAACCGCCAGCCCCATGTCATCATGCCCTGCGTCAGGGAAAGTTGAGTGGCAGGCGCCACCCCTCAAAGCAAGCGGTGTCCCTCAGCTGGAAGGCTCATGTGCCCAGTGCCCATGCAACAAAAAGGCCTTGGGGGGCTACGTGGACAAAAACGGAAAAAAGGGTGCCACCAAACTAGGAATATGCGAGCAAGAAAAATATGTTGCCTCAGCATGTAAGGAGTGGCTGCTTCCAACGCATGACGCCCCAAATTCCTCCCAGCGTGTCGAAAAGCTATGACACTGCCATTCTTCACCTAGCATACCTCGCCAACACCCAATAACTCACCCTCCCTTTGGGGCCATGGCTAAAACATATTTTGCCAAACACTGGACTTGAGGAGCGGGTGAACGAAAGCTAGCAGTTGTTGCATGAGATGGGTCGGTGACAGAGTGGATTCATAGGTAGCTTGTGTACAACGAGAGGCCCGGCAAGATTCGTAGGATGCGACACGCAAACGCACATGGTGGCGTGGCAAACCTTGAAAAATGAAAGCAACGAGAGGCGTCAGAAGCTGTCTTAAAGCACCTCTGGGTTCTGCATGCAGCGTGTGCAAAGATTCTTGCGGTGGTTTACCGAGAAGACTGAGGTCTCCAATGAACAAGCTGAATCGGTGGAACATGTAAAAGTTCGTAGCACCAAGTCCAAAACGGGCAAACCGAGACTGCTGAACACTGAGCCACTGCCCGGGGGGGGGGGGATGGACCAGGGAGGAATCGAGCCTGAGGGGGGGGGGAGGGGGGGGGGGGTCTAAATAATTGATGTTTTTCAATCTTTTCGGCTCAAATAATTGAAAAAATCAATCTTTCGGCATTTGAGCCCCTTACCTTGCTTACGCAAGGAGAAACTTCAGCTAGCTAAAGCTAGCTTTCGTGAAAACCGAAAGGTCAGATCCGGCCGATTCGCGCTTGATTCACCCCATCTTACTCAACCCCCGGTTTATTCGTGGGGGGGTGCTCCCCGCCAAAAGTGATCCGATTCCAACCAAACCGAGTTGGACACCCCGTATCAGTAAACTGCGGTGGCCAAGGGTCAAAACCCAAATCGTACCCCCAATAAAAACATCCCAATCCCCACCAAAATAGACTCAAATGGGTGGCGCCCTATTCCAAAATGGTATGATTGGTTTTGACCCATGGCCATATGGGGTGAACATCGATGCTACCCCCGGATTCATAAACCCCTGGCTGATTTTTCAGGGGTGTCCAATTCCGTTTAGCGGTTGGATTCACACCGCTTAAAAAAAAAGAAAGAAGCTCGGGCGATATCCCCAACAGCACCACACCCTCCCAGAATCCTCGCGGAACGCCCCGAAACCATCCTTACCGCCGGTGTTGCTGAGGATGCCGCCTTGTAAAGCAAAGCTTCGAGTGACAGCGCAATCTCGCCCTGATCGGGGCCCGACGGCGCAATCGGGGCCCGATCGGGGCCCGACGGCGCAATCGGGGCCCGATCGGGGCCCGACGGTGCAATCGGGGCCCGATCGGGGCCCGACGGTGCAAGCGCGCCCCGATCGTCCCGTGGTGCAACCCCAGCCACCCATATTGTAGCTCAACGCCGGTTTTCCTTAGCATGCGGATTGCAACTGTATCTATAGCAAAACTAGGCGATGCCAGCTTGGTACAATTGACGGGGCCCGACGGCGCAATCGGGGCCCGATCGGGGCCCGACGGTGCAATCGGGGCCCGATCGGGGCCCGACGGTGCAATCGGGCCCCGATCGTCCCGTGGTGCAACCCCAGCCACCCATATTATAGCTCAACGCCGGTTTTTCTTAGTATGCGGATTGCAGCTGTATCTATAGGGCAAAACTAGGCGATGCCAGCTTGGTCCATTTGGCGGGGCCCGACTGAGTCGGGCCCCGATCGGGGCGCGATGGCGCAATCGGACCGATCGGGCCGAAACGGTGCAATCGGGCGGGCCCCGATTGCACTGTCGCCCGGTGAACCTCGCAAACCGTTCTCACGCAACTTTCGTGGAGCTTAGCGTGAAACTTTGCTGGAACCTTTCCTCAGGGCTGCCCCATAGCTTTTGCAGAATTTGCAATGCCAAGCATTTACTCTGCTGCACCGTGAGTTCCGCAGCGACGTGATCTGCTTTGCCACAAAGCCACCATTTGCCTGAGCAAGTGAGCAAGTCACAAAACAGTGAAAGTGTGCTAAAAACCATTGATTTCGGTTTTGCTTAGTGTTCCGCCCATGAGCAAAGCGATCTTGATCCGATGGCTTTTCAGACAACGGGCGCACGACACACCTCAAACCACGCAGACCACCCCGCCTGGAACCCTGGTGGAACCCTGGCGGAACCCTCGTGAAACCTTCCTCAAACCCGCAGCCCTCGAAGAAATTGGTGGAACCCTGGCGGAGCCCTCGTGGAACCTTGCCTCAAACCACCCCAAACCACCGCAGACCACATTGCCCTTGCAGAACCTGGTGGAACCCGCCCTGAACCACCCCGGAGCCTATCTGGGCTGAGACCCCAAAGCTTTCAGCTGTTTGGGGAAAAAACCTAATCCTGGCCCCTGGCTGATTAGGCCTGAGCTTCCCGGCCTCGGGCCCCAGCAGCTGATCCAAGGCGGCCACCACCAGGTTCGCCAGCAGGAAGCCCAGCCCGGCCGCCGAGAGGAGGAAGCCCGTGCTGCTCCGGATCCTGGGGTCCGGACCAAAAAAAGCCATGGACACAGCCAATGGAAGGCCCAAGCTCAGGTAGCAGCTTGGTAGCCTATCATTAAAGTATGTGAGGTTTCAGGCAAAAGGATGCTGATTGAAAGCAACTCCTGCTTGGAGGGGCGGACTCCGCGAAGTAAGATACGATGGGCCCCAGCTCGCCGCCTGGCTCCAGAGGCGTTTGGGCTGTTTTAATAGAATTCTAGCACTCTGCCAAGTGTGCATTGATGCACGCATTGCGCTGGACCCAATGAGGTCGTGAAGAACGGTCTGGATGTTTTGGACAAGGGAACATCCTCACGCTTGTGATTGGCAAGTGAGCAGGTCCAGGTGCAGGTTCAGGTTACGGTGCGGAGTGATGTGTGCATTAGCGGGAAATGCACATGGGCGTGTGGTTCAGATGCGGCCTGGTTGTGGGCGCGTGAGAGAGAGAGAGAGAGAGAGAGAGAGAGAGAGAGAGAGAGAGAGAGAGAGAGAGAGAGAGAGAGAGAGACAGACAGACAGAGAGAGAGAGAGAGAGAGAGAGAGAGAGAGAGAGAGAGAGAGAGAGCGAGCGGGGGGCGTCTGTGCATGTGTGCGTGCGTGCGTGCGGGCGGGCGTGCGCGTGCGTAGTGTCTTTGTCGCTTCTGTGCCGTTCATGTCTGTCTGGCCTGTGCCTCTGTGCCTGTGCACCCAGCCTTGTTATCCGCGTGTTGGGCTTTGCCCCTCTGCCTTTTGCATCTGACTGGCCAACTTCGCTGATTGTGGACTCCATGGGTTTCCGATTTTAACTTTTAAAGAAACTGCACGGGCGCTGCAGAAAGTCGATGCACAGGGAGCGCGGCTGCGCCTGCGGAGAGCCCCTGCAATGCCCGCAGCAAGAGCATAAGCACCAGCCCCACCGTACCCCAGGTGGAACCTCGGGGAGCCACATGCCGCACCAAGCCTGGGACATGTCTATCCAACTGCGTGAAGGTCAATGGTCCAAGTCCATCATGTTGGTTTAGTTGACCCCCTTACCCACATAAAGGGAGTCATGCCATCCACTTTCACCCTGTCTGCTCCAAGGCTGGTGGTTGCACCATCCTACTGTCCAAGCCTCTGGTTCCCTTACTTGAGCTCCCATCAGCCATCCTCCCGCAACTTGGCCAGCCCACTTCGAAACCCTCCTCCCATCATCGTCCCAGTCTTTTTGGCCATAGCTATATATCTTTCCGGCTCGCCCCTCATGCCTCATCTCCCATTTTGAGCCACCCACTAGACAGAAGTCTCCGCATGCCTGGCCATGCAAAACCAACTGCCACAGGCTCGGTCAGGGCCTCTCAACGTGCCGCCAGGGAGCCACAGCAGTCCTCCGTGGGAAGCCTCGGGAACACATCCATGCCATGGTGTTCGCATGGCTACAGAAACCCCTCTTGGCCATGCCAAGGGGACGGGCCGAGGGCCTTGCTTTTAGGACTCCCAGCTCATCCAAAACCTCACATGCCGCCTGGGGCTGTGGGGATCGCCTGGGTTCCAACGTGGCGGCATGTGACACGATCAAAGGCCTTGCCGTGGCACAATCCCTGGCCGACCGTGGCCAGCAGCATGCCCACCATGGACAGGAGCACCGCGTTGCGCCTGCGGCGCTACATTCTAGACGCGCTGTCCTGCAAACCAAGTGCTGCATGCAATGTCAAGCTAACATGTTTCAGTGCTCAAGGGGCTGCGACCTGCATGCAAAATTGAGACAGGGCATCAACCAGCCTCCCACATTTGTCCGCCATCCAACCTTCGCGCGAGATGCGGGCCCCAAAGCTCCCCAAAGCGCAACAAAAAACCGAAGCACCCAAGCAAGCGACCCGCCCAAGCTCGGAAAGCTGACTAATCAACAAACAAAACAGACTACGCTGTCCTACTCGACCTAGACACCAGCCAACACTTCATTGCCATGTTACGTTGCCAGAGTCAAAAAGCACAAATTATATCATTCCCTTGCCAATTCCAAGGCATAGCGGCCTTTTTGTTCGAGTGCTTGGAAAAAGATGCTCTAGATGCATACCAGGAATCGCCATCTATTTTCGGCCAAACCAAAAAGGACACCAAAAAGGACACCAAAAAGTTCCAAAGTTGCACCCCGCATTTTTCCAATTTGTCATGCTTGTTCTTGAAAAAATAAAATGAAAAATGAACCTGTCCTCTGCCGCCTGGCGGCCATTCAGCAGGCCACCCACCGGCCGAAGTACAAAGGTGACCGCATAGCCAGCCCAGGTCGAGACCGAAGAGGAGTGGAAGAAGATCTGCTCCAGGTAAACGGCCAAGAAGCCTCAATCAAAGGGACCAAACTCGGAGATGGTCGGAATCACCTGATCTTGTCCCCGATGGGGTTGACATGGGGAAGGCATATGTTCAGCTAATATTCGGGTTCATCTTTTTCACCCCAAGATAGACTTGAACCAAAACTCGGACTCAGAAGGTCGGACCCACCTGATATTATTGTTCAATGAGGTTGATGACTTGAAGCCATATGATCAGCTAGCTAGTATCTAGGCTGGAATTAGAACCCCAGCAAAAAAATAATCTTTTTTGCCTGGTTAGTGGAACACAACCGGAACCCCAAAAAAGCAGAAGAGAAAAAAGCAAAAAGGGGAGCTAATTCTGGGGAAGGGAAAGCATATGGTTGTTGTTATTGTTGTTGTTTTTGTTGCCTTTTTTGTTTAAAAGAAAAGGCTGCTCCAAACAGTTCGGTGCCAAAGCTGCTATAGATGCCGAACTCATACCACTCCTCGGCTCAAGCCCCCGGACGGCGCAGTGGACGGCGCACAGGCAAATAAGGGAAAAAGGGACTCATGGGGGCTGGGGAGGGGGAGGGAGCCCAAATCAGCCCTTATCAAGCCCTTAATAAGCCCTTATTTGGGTTTGGGGCTCCCTCCCCCCTCCCCTCCCCTCCCCTCCCCTCCCCCCAGCCCTGCCGAGCTGCCAAGACGTTGCCCAGGAGAAGTGGCCACACGCGCCGCAGCAGCTCAGGCACGGTGGTCGGCCGGGAGGCGCCTGTGTCCAGGTGGGCCGTCATCGCGCCGGAGGTTTTTTTTGAGCTGCTCTGGCTGCGGTTGTCCTGGGACATCGGGGGCGCTGAAATACCGGTGCACCTGGCTTCTGGCTTTCCGGTTGCAACAAAGGGTCTGCTGACTGGAGTTTTGCCCGAGCTGCGTCCACTCCTTTTCGCCAAAAGTGAAAGGACCATGCTGCCCATGGCCCGCAGCCCAATCCACAGACACGTCTCCTCCCCTTCCCCCCATCCAAGCTTCACCCCGCTGGGCGCTCGGCTGGCGCTTCACCGGTTCATGCAAGCCCTGGCCGAGCGTGAAACGAGCCCACGCGTTGCATCCGGGAACTGGGAGGTCCCCTCCCGACTTCCAGCTTGTGGTGAGGATAAAAACGGTGGCTGATGAACTGGCGTCCGGAGCTCCCACAGCCCAGTCGGAAGGATTGCTAGCTGCAAACTCTTAGCTGCGTCTTGGACAAAGCATTCTGTGAGAAGAAGAAGCCAACAAAAAAGCTTTAGAAGGCGGGGTTGCAGGTCTAGGTTGATTTGAAGTTGGTTTTGGGATGTGGGCACGGTTCTCGGGCTCAGCCAAAAGAATCCTGTAAGGCTTGATGGTTCTAAATGGCATGGCTTGAGGACTTGGTGTGGCCTAAACAGGCCACAACACCACACACACAACGTCCGCCAAAGGAGATAGACCTTGGCCAAATCGCCCAAATCGAGCGCCCAGCCATATCTCACCTGACCAGCCGGGTCCGGCCATGTCCAGCCTGCTGCAAATGGCTCAGCCGCCGCAGGGAGCGCCACGCGAGGAACGGCGAGTGCCTGAGCTCGGGGGCAAAAGCAGACAGTGCGCGGCGCTCGGCTCGGCTCGGAAAATTTTGCGCCTGGGCGTTGTGGGGGGGGTTGGGGGGGAGGAGGGGGGGGAGGTGGGGGGGAGGAGGTGGGGGGGGGAGGTGCTGAAGGGATATTTTCTTGCCCAAGTATAGACAAAGAGCCACCTCTACCAGAGGTTTCAAAGTTCATGTAGCCACTGATTTTATAACGACTTGTTTGGGGGGTGGTCACCTCGGTCGGTGGGGAAACGTGGGCCCTTTGATAAGCCTAGATCCACCTAGGATAGGCCCAACAAACAGTGCCTCATGCACCAGAATAATGTCCTGGCTGCTGTCCTGAGGGGGACAACTGCGTCTTGCCTTGGCATTGCAGGATATCGGGGGTTGATCAATGTTCCTGGCTCCTAATGACAATATCTTCTTTTTGGTGGTTTTCCCCCATGATCATCCCATGTAAAGGACCTCTTGGTCAACCCCCATCTGTAAACCAAGCATGTCTGCAGCCCTGACGCCAGCATCCCGGTGCTGCCAGTGCACACTTCACCTGGGGCGCCGAGCCGAAAATTTTCCGAAAGGAGGCCTACACAAAGAAGCCACTGGAGGCTCGCAGGTCGGCGTCGGGTCAGGTTGCTTCAGGTCGCTTCATACCCAGGGGGCCTTTCGTGAGACATTGGCAGCTCGTTCCTCGAGACCTCGTGTGGCTCGCTCTGTTCCTGATGCAGGCCCAGCAGCGTCGTAGACCGTGTGCCCATCCACCTGGGACTGCAAGAGAGGTGAATGAGCGCAAGCATTGGAAGAAGAGGGGAATGCAAACATACATCCGGTCTGTCTAGACCGCGCATGGAAGTCACAAGATGCCCAACCAATCTCTTCGGAGCTCCACAATTCAGGGCCTCCAAATCACAAGAAGCTCACATGCAGTGCCGGAAAAGGGCCAACAGGGCGGTGTGTTGCTCTATTGTTCTTAATGGAGGGGCCCTCAAGTCAAAGACACCACAGCCATACGAAGCGGGGCACCACTCAACCATACAGTACCACTGTGATACATTGTGATACCATGCCTTCGCAATGACTTGGGCATGGGTCAAAATCAAACAACAAAAAAAACACAGGTTTCAGTCCTTGGTGCCATTTACCCGGGCAACCCATGTGGACACGGTACCTCTTTTTGAACCACTGGACTTTCTTTTGGGGGTGGGCACGGGGGTCACCGGGTGGGCAACACCCCGGCCGGCGCCTTGGAGTGGCCACAGACCTCCAGCGTGAGCTCTGGCACTGCCTTCCACTCGCTCCACTCCAAGGGGCTGCGCGCCTGCGGCGCGCGGCCCGGCACGAGACCCCGCCACCGGAGGGGCCAGCCAAAAAATATGCAGTGTGAAATACCCAGCGGTATGGGAAAAAATAGGCAGAAACGCCGAAAAACACACCACCTGCCCCAAGATCTGACACTGTGATCACCGGAGAGAAGCTCTGCCTCCCTTGAACGGTTGGGCCGGGCGCGACGAGTCACGCTGTGCAATTGTTGGTTGGTCCGGCTGACTCATCAGCTCCTCTTGCGCACACATTCCTACGCCTGCCTGCATGCAACTCAACGGCCCCGCCCTTTTTTCCTTGATACAGCCCGACCACGTCCCATGTTACAGTCGGAAGTCTCCCCCTTCTTTAATCTTGTTCGGGAATTCGCCAATGATACGGGCAGTGGAAATCCCCTAGCATGGTTCCCGCAACCACACGCAGCCACACCACGAAGGGGTTTTCGTCTGGCCCTTACCCCGGCCTCCCCCGACCAGGTGACCAACCCCCCACGCCTTGTAGCCATAGGGGTCCAGGAAGCCCACCACGTCGACTAGGTCCGGCAAGGCGCTGGGCAAGTCCTGAAGCAGCACCGGCGTCTCGTTGCCCGCCACCACCTGCCGAATCCGAAGCCACTCGAATCCAAGGGCCGCTTGAAAATTACCCGGCCAAAACGGGGTTCACCTAGGGAAACCCTTGTCACTTGTTTCTGTGTGTTGTTTGGAAGGCCCCTCCTTTGGGGTTGGTGCAAAGGATCCAAATAGGCAAGCCAGTGTCAAGCACCCAGTTGCAGTCCGCCGCTTGGATGCTCCAGAGTCAATGAGTTGGAAAGAGAATCCAAGGAGTGGCTGGTGGGATTGCAATCACAACCGCCAGCAACACGCTACCGCACTGGAATAAAAGGCGGTTCGTGGTATGGTCCATACTTACACCAGGAACTTAAACGCCCATCCTACATGCAGGTTACTTTGAGTACTTCTCGGAGCGTAGTCATCAACTTGACAGCATTCAGTTGGGTGCTGGCTACTGGGAATTTGGCACCGGTCACATCAGCCACAGGTCACGAGCCAGGGAGAGACAGAGAAAAAAGAGAGAAAGAGAGAGAGAGAGAGAGAGAAAGAAAGAAAGAAAGAAAGAAAGAAAGAAAGAAAGAAAGAAAGAAAGAAAGAAAGAAAGAAAGAAAGAAAGAAAGAAAGAAAGAAAGAAAGAAAGGAGAGAGAGAGAGAGAGAGAGAGACAGAGAGACAGAGACCACTTGTGAAGAAAGCATGGGCTGCCTGGTCACGTTCCTGTCATGCTTCGAGGCTGGGCCTTTCACCTTAGGCTCAAGCCCCGCCTTGGCGTCGGTTTCTTCATCCGCGGCCATCATCCATGCGAGCTTGCCGCATGTGCGCCCTTGCAAAGGGCCTCCAAATCCGAAGTCAGTTGTGGCTCCCGTTGTCTGATTCCTGTTGCCGGCTTTGATTGATGCCAAAGCGTCCGGCTGGTCGTCTTGGGTTGCTGTTGCTTTGCAGTGGCTCGACAAGGGCTCGGAGCATGTTGCCAAAATGGCGTCAGGGTACAGAAAGCTGGCTGGGGCATCAGGTAAGCCTGTTCAGAAATGTCATGCAAGCAAGTCTTGGCGAGGCTGGGCACAAATGCACAGACCCCAAAAAAAGAGCATGCCAACCCCGAACTCAACAGCCTGGCAAGCCAAACACATGAACCAAAACATGAACTTGCAACAAGCCCCCCATGTTCACCTCTACACGCGTGTTACAAACAGCCTTGCTGAACTGCATCAGGTGCAAGTGGTGGAATTTCCGCCCGCTCCTCAGCTGTGGCTGCGCCTGCGCCGGCGCCCTGGCATTGGGCGAGACAAAGGGAAGACCTCAGCGACTCAAATCGCCAAACTGCCAAGGGCAATGGCCAAGAGCCCCCGGCCAGCCGTCCATATCAGCAGGGTTGCAAGAAGCAGCGCCCTGCGACTCGCAAGGGCTTTCCCCGGGTATGGGACAACGTGTGATCGTGTGATTTTAGGAACCACCGACACTGGCACCGCCAAGAAGTTGCAACCAATTCAAGCTGACGCGTTGGGCGGTGCCGGCGGCCAATGGCTGAGATGATAACGAGAGGGCCCTGCCTGCCAGCTTGGGCCCGACTATGGCAAAAGCGCCTCATCAGCCCTACTGGCGCCTACCGGCTGCTACAGCCTGAGCCAAGTCCCCCCGCACATACACAATTACCACCTGACGCTCGGAGCCCATTGCCTGAAAAAAGAGATACCTTCAGGTGAACGAGGACCGCGTTCTGGCCTCGCACGTGGCTCTTGGCAGTCTTCGAGCAGCTCGGGGCTGCGCTCTGAGCAAAGACCCGGCGCGTCTAGTCCAATCTGCACACATCGTCTTGGCCAGTTGAAGCCATTGTGCGCACGAAGTACAATAATCAAACGCTCGGCATGTCTAGTCCCTTCTGCACAAAACACATCGTCTTGGCTGGTTGAAGCCATTGTTCACACTGGCAACAATCATAATGATGATGCAATTGATGCTGCTGATGATGATGCTGATGGTAGTAGGAATGTTAACAATACGAAAAACACAAGAACAATAATAGTAATGATAGTAGCAGTAGCAGCAGCAGTAGTAGTAGCAGCAGCAGTAGCAGTAGTAGTAGCAATAGCTGCAGCAGTAGCAGTAGCAGTAGCAGCAGCAGCAGTAGTAGTAGTGGTAGTAGAAGCAGGAGCAGGAGCAGGAGCAGCAGCAGTAGCAGTATCAGAAGTTGTTGTTGTTGTTGTTGTTGTCGTTGTCGTCGTCATCGTCGTCGTCGTTGTAGTTGCAGTAGTTGTAGCAGTCGTAGTTGTTGTTGTAGCATTACTACAAGCTTGTAGCAAAACCCTAGTCAGAGCAACTTGTGGTTCCTACCATCTGCTCTCATGCATCAACTCCAAACGTGGCCTTCGTACCACAGCATTCCCCTTACAGCCCAGGAATCTTGGGGCAAAGGGCGCACCTACTGAGTTTCTCCTTTCCTTCAGCCTGCGGCCAAATACTTTTGAACTCTCGCAGGGACAGAAGGCTCCGAGATGAGGGTTCGGGGGGAAAAGCCTTGCAATGTCCACATCTTGGCTAAGTTTCTGGCCCGCGGCAGGTGCGCGCAGCCAGCACACCAAATGAGGGCATCGTCCCGTTTGGGACTGACGCGGCCCATCTGGATCGAATTGTCGATCCAACGAGTTGAATATCGCAAGTAAACACACCAGCTGTAACATGCTATTGCCAATTCCGCTGCCCTGCTCAAACAACATTTCGTGAATCCACTATGCTGCAAGCATGAGTGAATGTGTTGAGAAGGCACGCCCCTGAAAACCAGCACGGAACAGGCGTCTCTTGCACCACTTGGGGATCTCTGTTTTCCCACTGCATCCGGCCAGCTTCTCAGTTTGTCCGGGTTTCAGGTGGCTTCCAGGCTCCCGAATCAGTCGATCCAGTGCGCGATCAACGGATCCTCATCCTCTGGTTCTGGCAGAAGCCGTGCCAAGTAGGACGGCACCAGCTCGGGCGCCTCAGCCTCGTCCAGCAACACTCGGATCATCGTGGCCTCGCTAGCGAGGCTCGCGACGTGCTGGGATGAAGGTGAGATACGTAAACACACTCGAACAAATCAAAATAATGCATATCGAACAAGCAGGCTCGTGTCGAAAGGGGCATTCACATTGATTCCCGTGCCAACAGCCTTGCAGGAAGTGGGAGCTGAGCGCCCTGTTCAAAATCAAGTGCAAGGAGCATTCTCAAATGAGCATGGGGGAACAGACAGGCGGATTGGACAATACATATCTACGTAAATGAAGAAAGCAATGAATGATTTATATATATATATATATGTATATATATATAGAGATCGGACCTCTACAAGCACACCCTCCCTCCCACTAGCGGTTCTTACTGTGGATCCAAAGGAAAGAAAGGGGAATGGGAACTGCAAAAAACTTGCAAACCCCGGAAACAAGAAAGAAGCAAGTGGCCGGATAACGACTAAAAATCCTCCACAAAGGACTACACTCATATGGCCATGGTCAAAACCCCGTACCCCCAGTAAACATCCCAATCCAACCACTAACATAGGTTCTAACATGGGTGGTGAATTCACCTACCCCAAAATGGGATCCCAAAACGGTGTTGACAACCACTGCCATATGTCTTCGCTCGCATCGTCTTGTGCCTCCGGCTCGAACTCCTCCTCCGGGATCTCCAGCCTTGCCGGCGGTGCCGCGGGGTCTGCCCCGGGCACCAGCGGAAGCTCCACGGCGGCCTTGCAACGAGTCGCCGGAGGGGGGGGGGGTTGGAGGGGGGGAGGTGCAGAGGGGGGGAGGGCGGAGGGGGCAGCGGGGGGGGGGGGGCGAGGGAGCGACCGGGTGGAGGAGGGATGGGAGGGGTGGGAGGGGTGGGATGGGAGGGGGGGGGGGGGATTGACAAGCGGCGAAGTTCCGCAAAGAGTCGCTTGCAAGTCGCCCGCACGCAGTTTCCAGAGTCAGACAAGAATAACAATTTAATGGAAGCCCGCCTTTGCTAGAGCAAACAAGTGTCGTCTGAAAAACGCCAGAACACCAACCAAAAGTTGCCTCAAGGTAACCAAAAGTCTCTCAAAGGCAATCCAAATCACCTAAGAGGGGTCCTCCGCTCCTCGATTGGTTTTTCAAGGCACGGAGGCGGGTGGTACGGGAGAGCTTTGGTGCGGGCAGCGGTCGAAAGCCAAGAAGTCTAGCAACCTGCGCATGTTTCATGGGCCCAACCGTTGGTCCTCAGGGAGCATCCGTCGAAGCTTGATGCGCCGCAGATTCACACGTGAAAGCGGCTCTGGAAATGTAGAAACCACCTTGGTGAAACCAAAGCATACTTATCCTGGCTTCTTGATGCGACATCAAATCAAATGTCCAAGTCTACCTCCCCACCCCACCTCCCCGCCCAAACAACAAAAGCTGAACAAGCCAAGAAAACCATCTGGCCTGTCCTCAGATCCCCTGCCAACAGCTTAACTGTGAGCTACATCCCAGCCTAACCTCCAAACCACCCAAAAAAAAAAAAACATCGAGGACTCTTTTCCAGACCGCTGGGCCGCTGGGCACCCCAAGAAACCGAAAAAACCGACAGACCTGGCCTCCAGCACGCGGCCAGCCTTCCAGCCCTGCTGGCGCCCTCTGTACACCTGGACCCCCGCGTTCAACGGGTACCGGCGCCGCAGCCGCTCCGCCACCACGCGGCAGGGCTCCTGGGAAGGAGAAAGCTGATGGGTGAGTGATCTGCCTCTCGCAGGGTTCCTGCGCACCAGCTGGACGGAGATGTCTTGCGAAGCGGTTGGGGCCATGATTTGTTTCTGACATCGATGACCCGCAATAACCAGCGGGACTGGAGAAGATGGTTTCGGGAATGCGTCAGACGCAGACGCCCTTGAAATGGTGTTCCTTTCCCCTGCTGTCCTCAGACTCGTCACCCTCCACATTGACCTGGAAAATCTCCCCGCTCTTCACCACGTCGACAATGATGCCTGGCTTCCAGGCCTTCAACGTCTCCATCCAGATCCTCAAGATTTCAGAGATATGAGGGCGTGTCCAACATAACACAACTGGAAAACGCCTTTTCTGCGATACCGTGGATCATTCCCACGATATCCGATATCCCTTTAAGCGTCAACGAGTTGGATGTCCTGTAAGACCCACCGGGTCTGTCCCCAAGCTCAAGTAAACGGGTTGGTTTCATTCTTAAAACGGGAAACCCCTTTTGATTCGGGTTTTTGAAAGGAAAACCAAACTAAAACCCTTCATTTTGGTGGGTGCCCCAAAAAGAAAGACACACATATAGGTTAAGGGACCCCCAAAACCGACGGTGTCTTCCCCTTGGTGCCATCTTTCAAGCCACCAACAACCAAGGGCACCCTCCAACAAAACGACGCACGGTTCGCCCAAGATGCACCACCGGCTCCGCCTCAGCGAACACAGGCCGCAGCTGGCTGCAGAGCACCCGGCGCCGCAGCTGGCGCCGAGCGCCCACCAGGCAGTCGTACTGCGGCATCGCCTGCGGGAAACTCGCAACACTGATTTGTGGAAGAATCGATGGGTGGATGGATGGCTGGATGGATGGACGAATGGATTGAAGGAGGGAGGGATGAATGGAATGGGATTTGTTGGGTGGAGGGAGAGATGGATGGATGAAGGATGGACGGATGGATGGATAAATGTATGGCATGTATGTATGCATGTATGTATGGATCAATCTGAGAAGGATGGAGGGATGGATGGATGGACTGATGGACGGACGGACGGACGGACGGACGGACGGACGGACGGATGGCTGGATGGCTGGCTGGCTGGCTGGCTGGATGGATGCACTGATGGATGTATGGATGTACAGGTTTAGGGAGGTACGGATGGACGCATGTATGGATGTAGGGATGTAAGAATGTGTGAATGCATGCATGCATGGATGGATGCCACTACAAGCGCTCCTTTCTTATTGACTACGCAGTGGTCATAAACACCATGTTGGCTGGGATCGGGAAGCAATTGAGTTAGAAACAGCCCTCGGCAAAAGTGGACGGGTGTTGGGAATGAACCGTTTTGAGAAGGAAACCATAAGGAATGGTTTATAGGGGTTTGAGCATTCCCTGCTGAGATCCAGCACACAATTTGTCAAGCGGCGGAAGCGCTTACCCTGCAAATTGGCATGTTCGTGGCAGTTTGCCGAGATCATGGCTTGAGCAGCTTCAATGTATTGTGTCTCAACAAAGGCAAATCACTTCCCACAATCAACTTGCCTCTGCCTATCACTAAAGCTTACAATCAAGGAAGTGAAAGGGATGCAGGGATTGTTCATTGGCTGAGCTGCCTACCTTGGCAGTTGCTGCAAATGTCCTGTCGACGATCAAGAATGCGATGCGCTAGCCTGCAGATCTGAATCCTCTATTATTTGTCCGCGCCATCAACTGCCATCAACAAGCAAACGTCACGTCGGAAGCTGGACCTGTTGTAGTTATTGAGATATTCCTTCATGTCACACGCCAACCTGCGGAGAGTTCGCTAGCACAAGGAGGCGACTCAAGCAGAGAACTGCGCGTCACCGCGCTGCCCATCCACCGAAGCTTCAGACTCCGCGCCTTGGAGCCGCCTTTTAAAAAGCGGCCCCTGCCCAAGATGACGCCCTGAAGCAGCCTCTGGTGCGTAGCGGACCAGTAGCCCACCTCAGTGCTGGAACGGTCCCACAACCCAACTGCCTGCTCGGGACTGAACAGGCCTCTCAATCTGCCAGTGTGTGTGTGTGTAATTTCAAAGCACCCCAAAAATGGTTCTTTCAAGGAACCTACCCGGCCAAAGCCAGACCCAACTGCAGCTCGCCCAGTCTGTGAGACAGGGACATCTCTCAAGTGTGTCTCGCAAAAAGCTTGCGCGGGAAGGGAGGCAGTCTGAGGCAAGTCGCCGCCGCGTTGTCTGGGTAGACCTGCCAACGCCGCAGCGCTGGCTTCTCGGGCACACTGGCTCCAGGCTCCACCTCTAAGTCGCCCTCGAACTCAAACTTCTCATCGTACAGAGTGCCCTCCTGAGGCTCCAAACCCCAATGAGCGAACCGCACCTTCTTCGTTTTCACAAGGGGCGAACCACACCCAAACAAAAACCCCAAGCAAATGGCACGGCACTCACTCCCCATATGCTGAAAGCTGGAAAGGCGAGTCAAACTGCGCCAAGATCACCCTGCTTCACCTGACAGGAATGGCGCCTCACCCCTCCCCCTCCCCTTATGCTTTGAAGCCAAGAAACGCGGGAGGACACGGTGGGGTGCGCGGCGGGCCACTGCTCCAAGGGCACCGACAGGTCTGGGGGCTGGTGCTCCCAATCCTCCTCCTCGAGCGTAACACGGGCAAGTAGCAGGGGGGGGGGGGGAAAGACGCTCCATGCACACGCGCGGAACCCATACCCCCCAGTGCAAATTGCTCTGCGCAAGTTTCTCTGCGCAAGTTGCTCTGTGCAAGCTGCTCTGTGCAAGTTGAGTTCCATCTGCAAGTGTCTGTGCGCGACTTGCTGAATTACTGCGCCCTTTTCTGCCCCAAAAAGGTTGCGGTTTTGCAGCTGGAGCTGCCGGAGCGTACTTGGCACGCTACATTTGTACTGACAAGCTGCGATGTTCGAGCTCAAGCTGCAGCAGAGTACTTCGCGTACTACGTTCATACTGATGTTGTGGTTTTACCCTGCAAAGCCTGCTGCCAGTGTTTAGTGAGGGTTTGATTGTTCCCCTTGGTACATCCTCTGATTTCCATGCTTCCCATTCGCACCTTGGCCACAAAAAAGCCCCCAACACATTGTACCAGGTTTCTACCATGCATAACAGGGGCCCGCTCAGACTGGCGACGATTACACCATTTTGCGGGAGGCCGCCCCAGGCAGGTTGAGCTGGAAGCAACATGACGCAGCAACGCCCACGTATTTTTGCCCCCCAAATCTGGTCACGTAATCCGGGTTCGCGCCTGCCACATTTGGCCCTCCTCAAAGCCGTCTAGGCCTTCCAGGCCTTCCAAGGCGGGCGCATCCAAGCCCTCCTCAGGCAGCTGCGACAGGTCCTTGCAGCCTGGAGCCGCGCTTGCGATGGTCGAAACGGCGCCAAACACATGCGAAATGCATCTAAATCCCCTTGCTGCAGCCCAGCTGCTGCTGCGATTTAAATACACGGACACATAGCGGTGCCCCTGAAGCTCACCTGGCCCGCGGCGACCAGCATCCAAAAGAAAGTGCTAGAGTTGCACGCTCCATCATGGAAGAAAACTGCAGTAGCACGGTTTTCTGCAGAAAGAAGTGTGACCAATAGTTGGCAGGACGGCGGGCTTGCGTGGAACAGCTGCCAAGCAGAAGAAAATGAATAGAAACACAGAAGCGGCAGCGGCGATGCGGAGCTGGCAGCCGGATTGACAGCAGCAGCAGCGCCAGCAAGAGCAACAGCAACGCACCACCACCACCACCATCACCACCACCACCACCACCACCACCACCACCACCACCACCACCACCACCACCACCACCACCGCACCACGACACGACCACGACCACGACACGACTAGCACACAGCCAACACACGACCACCAAACAACCACCACACAACCACCACACGACCACCAAACGACCCCGACACGATCAACATAACCACCGCACGACCACCACACGACCACTAAACGACCGCGAGATGACCACACAACCACAGCACGACCGCGACCACGACGACAACCACAGCAACACCATTGGACCACAAACGCTAACAGCAACTAATGCCAACCACCAACAACCAACAAACAACACCAACCATAAGAAGAAGGAGGAGTAGAGGTAGAAGAAGGACAGCGATGACGGCGATGACGAGAACAACCACAAAACAAACTGCAGCAACACACGCGAACAAAAACAAAAGCACGACAACACAAAACCAAGAAGCGAGAATAGACTTGAAAGGCATGACATCTGGCTCTGAACGTAGGAGGGCACGGAGAAGGACAACCAACAAAAGGGGATAGTAGCTAAAATAAGATGGACAACGCACATAAACAAAAAGAACATAAAGAACCAAAAAGCAGCAACGCTAGCAGATAAAAACAAAAAATGCGAGCAAAGGGCCAGCCTAAGCATTGCAAGAACTTGTCTGGATCAACGTCCCACTTCACGAGCACCTTCTTATTGAAGCCGGCATCGGCGCCCTCTTCGATGTCTCCGAGGCTCAGCTTGCTTTGCGTCCCGATCTCGTGTCGGGTGAATTGTATCGCGTGCAAGCGCCCCTGGCTATCCTGGATCTCCGTCTTCCCCGCCGCGGGTGGCCGCAGGCGCCTCTTCAGCAGGAAGCCAATGCAGCCCACGGCCACGCAAATGCACAGGGCCACCGGCACCACGCCCATGGAGTATCTGCTCTCATCCAGCCCCAGCCTGGTGTCGAAAGGAATGGCCTGCATCACTGCGAAAAGGGAGAGGTGGCTCAGCTGGCACCAAGTCCCAGGAACGCCCTCCCCAAGCTCCTGTGTCACGTAGCTGCTATTGGCCAAGGACACACCCTCCACCGACCAAGCGCCAGTGGCAAAGTCGAAATACGCGCAGCTGTCGCCCTCTTCAGCTGGCGAGGCCCGGATTTGAAATAGAATCGGCTTCGCGAGGTTGGTCACATTGGCGACCTCCACCTCGCCCGCCGCTTCCCTGGCAAGGCCACTTATCAAGGCCTTTGCAGCCAATCACGCCGGTTTCACGCAAGGCCCTGCCAGGTCAGAAACAAATATAATTCCAAAAGCTGAATTAAAAATTGGATCTCCAAGTAACTGACCTATCTCGTGGTGAGCTCGTTATACCCCCGAATCGGTGAGCTCGCTATAAAATAGGCGGGGTGCCAGCTCCTTGCGCATCTCGAACTTGCCGAAGGCTCGTAGCCATGGTGGCTATGTTGCTTGGAAAGAGGTTTCCGGATAGCCCTCTTTGTTGGGTAGTAATCTACAGGGCTCGCCCTTCGTGCGTGCTGCCTAGAACCTGCCTGGCAGCCTGTTTTTGCCGACCCTCAATCTCTTCGTGTTCCTTGTTCTAGGCTTGGGCGTCAAGCAAGAAAGTTGGAGAGCAAAAAGCAAGACTCCGATGTGTTCTTAAAGCATCCCAGTCCCCCCACATCAACTTGCCAGCGGCTGATTCCCTAAACAAGGCAAATGGTGAGAGCGCGCGGTCATGTATGCCATGTTTGGTACCATTGTGCCGGGCCAGTTGGCATTGCAAGAAAGACGCAAGAAGACCAGCTGCCAAAATATATCTGTGCAGAAATCCAAGACCAACGGGCCTCTCAGAAATCTCTCTGGAGTCGCTCGCTCCGAAATATCTTCGACCACCATCCCACTTAGGAGCATAGATTATGACAGGGACATACTGTAAGACATAAAAAAGGGATATTCCTGACAGGGATATCCCTGTCGGCAACCAAAACCCTTTGACCAACCCCCCTCCCCCTCCCCCCCCTCCTCCCCCTTCCCCTCCCCCCCCGACTCCCCCTCCCCCGCTCCCCCCTCCCCCGCTCCCCCCTCCCTCCCCCGCCCTCCCCCCCCCCCTCCCAACCTCCCCCCGTCCGCGCCTGATCAAGGAGACCTCCACCGCCTTCCTCAGCAGCTGCCCCGTCGGCCGGAAGGCCCGCGCCAGCTCCGCGCTGGGCTCCGTGAAGCTCAGCATCAAGTTGGCCCCCTCCGCCAGCTGCGCCTCGGCGAATCGCAACGAGAAAGGCAACGAACCTGGTTCTTGCCGTTGCGTCCAGAGGGTCTTGACTCAGCAAGGCAACGAAAAAGGCGCCCACTGACATTCAGGGACATGGTCGTCTTCAATCATTTCAGATGAATTCAGCATCTTCAATATGACAGTTGCTCTTCTTACATAAGCAAGCCAGGAGCTTCTTGGACGACTTCGTTCCAGTTGCAGTGGCCTTCGGCAAAGAAACGCAGCTGAACATGGAAGCTCCCAGGACCTTTTTGGAAGACTTGGCTCCAGTTGCAGTGGCCTTCTGGGAGCTTCCACGATAAAGTTTGTTTGAAGTGTATGGCTCAGCGACGCCGTGGGAAATGGAAAATCCACTTCTGTGATTGGACCCCCCCCAAAAAAAAAAACTCCCAAAAACTACCCCCCCCCCACAAGGGGGAGCTTCCCTTGGAGAAACCCCGAGTGATCAACCACAACCCTGCTCGGCAAGCAAGGCAAAGCGATGGCTTGCTGCACAGCTGGGGTAGGCTGCGAGACGACCGAGGGATTCTGGACAACACATGTTCCCTTTAAAGGAACCTTCTGGTGGATTCCATGGCAATGGACGTATTGTTTGTGCTTTATCATGGTCCTCTATTTGGGTATGGATAGAAACCGACCGGATTTAGTCCTTGTGTCCATTCAGAGGTCTTTGGTATCCGATTTCCCCGGGTCCAAGTGAGGGCAGAGGTGTTGATTCTTCCTAGGAAGACCTTCCAATTCCGTTCTTTCCAGGAACCCGAATCTTTCTAGGAAACCTCCGGAAACCCAAAAAAACAGCTGGTTTTTGAAAAGAAAGCCTTCTTTCTAGAAAACCTCCAAAAACCCGGGGAAAACAGCTGGTTTGTGAAAAGAAAGACGGTTGAAAAGGACAAGGAATCAACCCCTAGATTCCCAGGGCTGGTTCTCCGCATGGCAACATCCCCATCACCAGCCTGACCCGGATCCTTAACAGGTTTCAGCATCCTCTCGGCTTCCAAACGTTTGTGCAAAAGCCAAGCCAACCTGATAAAGACCCCCTGCGTTCGGTTCCTTTCAGTTTTACCTCAGGTTCCGAGATGCTTGGAGTAAAAACATGTTACTAACATTGGCAGATGTTGGGAGTCCGGATCCTATAATCTGAAACTCCGTTGGCTTGCCAGCGTCTCCTGCGGAGATGCTGCCCCAAATGGGGTGTGTCTTTGTTAGGAGACCCCGAAAATTGTATATATCTACACATCTACATACATATATGTATGTGTGTGTGTGTGATGTGTATGTTTTTTTTTTTGGGGGGGGGGTTCCTTTAACCCCTCTCCCTCCCCCCCCCCCCCCCCAAGAAAAAAAAAATACCCTCAAAAAAAGACAGCCCCAATTTCTCTGCAAGCAAGACTCCACCAACCCCTCTGGAAGGGCCACCTTCATCTCCGTGCCCATCGCACCTCTCCCATGGCCCAGCTTCACGACAGTGACGTTGCCCGTAGCCGTCTGGAAGAAGACGCTGTCCTGCCAAACATCCGGGCGTCTGTCAAGCAAGACCACCATGTTTATTGGGCGCCCCAAAAATAAGACACAATTTTAACAACTGGGTCAAAGTGCAAAACATTTTACATATCGAAAGACGTCGAAAGGTCTGACAAAGCTCTGCGGCGCGCTGCGTGTGCAGTTCTACTCCCCGACTTTTCTGCGTCGAAGTGCTCATGGAGCGACTTTCTCACATTCGCAGCGCAAATCGGGGGAAGGATTGCGTTTTCGAGGCGCCGAGCTTAAGAGACCCAAGTGATAACAAAACATCTCAAAATTTCCGCTCGACCTGAAAATCTCCCATTCGGTGCGTCCTCCCGGTAGCTCAAAGCTGCGAGGGCGCTCTGCAGCACATCTCGAGTGAGAGAGCCCTGGGCCGAGTCCAGGCTGATGTTCGGCATCACAACCACGCCTCGAGCTGGGCCAGCTGAACATCTTATCATCGGGTTTCATGCAGTTGTTTTACGGGTTTTAGGCCTGGTTGCAGTTGACCCCTTTGCGCAAAGTTTCACTTTTTGGTGGGTCCAATAAAAACTCCACTGTTTCCCAGTCCAAAGATCCAACCAAATAGCAATAAAGTATGGGGGAGTGTGTTTTGCGACTTTTTGCCCATTGCCCCACCGTGCCTTTCAAGGTGGTGGTGCTGGTCGTGCTAGTGCTAGTGGTGTGGGTGCTAGTCACGGTCAACGTTGTGGCACTCTCGGTGCTGGACACAGTGATGCTTGACTTCGTGTTCGAGGTGCTGCTTGTTGTTCTCGAGCCGGTCGTGGTGGTGATGCTTGTGCTTGTGGCTGATGTGACCATGCCGGTCGATACCACGGACGTTATGGTGCTGCTGATGGTGCTGGTGATGGTGCTGGTGATGGTGCTGGTGATGGTGCTGGTGCTGGTGATGGTGCTGCTGATCGAACTGGTGCTACTGTAGCTGCTACTGCTACTGCTGCTGCTACTGCTGCTGCTGCCGCTACTACTGCTGCTGCTGCTGCTGCTGCTGCTACTGCTGCTCTGAGAGCTTGTGCCGGTTGTGGTCGCGAAGATGGTGCTGCTGGTCGTGGTGGTCGTGTTGTTACTCCTCAGTGGGTTGGGGGTCCCAAAGGTTGCCTCGTCGGCGGGGTCGAAGTCGAACTGCTCCGCATCCACCACGTCGCCTTGCTCGTCATAGATCTTCCGCACCTTCTGCGCTGGATACTTATCCTGGGTTGACGTTGGAAGGGGAGCAAAAATGTAAATTTTAGCAGTTAAGTGGTTGGATTTCACCCACTGAACCACAGTAAGCAAAAATGCAAAATGCTTCTCAAGAACAACCATGTATCTATGAGATGCCAGCCGGCGCTACCTCCTCGGAAGGCCAGCCAGGGATCATGGTGCAGCGCAACCGTGTCGACACCCCCAAGCTGAGCCCCATAGCAGCAAGCCTGATCCGCAGAAGAGCCGGGAATGCAGATCGCATCACGCACAGTGGTGAAGAAAGACCAGTCATCCACAACTCCGTCGTCATCAGCATCAAGATCGGCTCCCCCAGTGCCCGTGAAATCGTCAACCAGCATCAGAGTCATGCTCGGATTCTGAAAGTCCGGCACTGTCACCTGCAGGGGCCTCTTCAGCCATGCAAAGAATCCTGTGTTGGTCCCATTGGATGCCGGGGACATGAGGTTCGGTCAAATCTCCAGCAGTCTTTAGACTTGGGGGGCCATGAGCTACTCTCCAACATTTCCCCAACAAGAACTCTTGACCGCGGCCCATTGCAATGAACCTTGTGGTGCGCAGTCACCTTTTGGTTCCGTCCCGAACCCTCCGTTTGACGCAGGAACCCCCCGCCACTAGCAGGCCGTTGCCGTCAAAGCTGCCAGAAACCGCCGCGGCCATGGCTACGTCGCCTTGCGCGCTGCCACAGTCGCTGGTGACCTGCTTGCGGGTCAGAAGAACGAAAATCACATATTCCAGCAAGTCCACCCATTCTTACAAGGCAGGCAAAAACAGAGAGAACCCTAAAAATTGAACATCGACCACGCAAAACTCGTTAGCCGCCGAGCAACGTCCAAGACCCATCCAGTATACGACGTCCCCGGCACGCCGCTGAGCTCCAGAAAGGCAGTGCTGGGATCCTAGGGGAGCAAGAATTTGTCGCGGCGGCCAAGGATAACACCTACATGCGACGCACTCGGTGAAACCAGTTGGATGGCAAACCCGGCCCCGGATGCCAAAGCAGGGCATGTCTGAATGCCTCCCCGCCAAGGCCCGGGAAAGGCCCCCTACATCCTGCGGCGCCTTTGACCAAAGTCCGGTCCTTGCCAGCAGGGTTGGGCTGAAACTCGCTGAGGAGCTGTGCCGCCACCAGCGTCACAAGTGGCAGCTGCAGCCACAGAAGGGCCATGCCCAAAGTTTTGGCGACTGAGCCCACTGCGGTTTGCGGACGCAACTGACCCCTTAAACCGCTTCAGGCAAGTGTCACACGCGTTGCACATGTTTGGTTCATTTTGACGCAATTGGGGACTTGGGATGGACTCATAGAAACATATGGTGGCAAAGCCAACGCAACAAGAACGTCGGCCGATCGAAGCGAAGCGTGTTTCTTCTTCCCAACAACCTGGAAGGAAAATTGCATTTTTGAGGCCGCTCGTTGTAGATCTCACCGATGGAGACCTTGACCACAAATTCAATGTAGTCCGCAGCCTCACTGCAGGTCTTCTTGGCACAGCGTGCGCAACGAGCAAGAACGAATGAGCAACCGCCAACATAAACCACGGAATTTTCCGGCAACAACACAGCAGATACACGGCGTGCACCAAAAAAACACATTACACCAGCATAGACCCCAGATAGCAATTATTGCACACCAGCACCTCCAACAGCACGAGCGTCCCAAACAGCACCCGGCCGTCAATCGAGCACCCGCGCCATCACTAGCACCTCCAACAGCACCCCAAACAGCATCCCAAAACAGCACCTGCAGCAGCACCCCAAACTGCATGCCCCCTGCACCCTGCCGTCAATCTCGCAAAAAAGCGCCTGCACCGTCACCCTAAGAGCACCCCAAACAGCACAGCACCCCCTCAAACACCCAGCGGCACCCCAAACAGCATCCCAAAACGCCACCCGCACCAGCACCCCAAGCTGCATGCCCCCTTGCACCCTACCGTCAACATGAAAAATTTGACTGCACCGCCACCGCATGCCCGATAGCACCCGGGCGTCACAAACAGCATCCCAAAACACCACCAGCACCGGCACCCCAAACTGCATGCCCCCGTGCACCCTACCGTCAAGATGCAAAAACACCGTCACCCCCAAAACAGCACCTGCACCAGCACCCCCAGACTGCATGCCCCCTAGCACCCTACCGTCAATCTATGTCAATCTTGAAAAGATGCGCCCGCACTGCCATCAGCACCTCAAACAGCACCCCAATCCGCAAAAACCAGCACCCGAAACTGCACGCCCCTTAGCCCATCAATCTCGCAAATCACTTCCCCCTCTTTATTAGAAGTTAGAACCCCTATAGCTTTCAGCTATCTGGGGAAAGACTAAATTTTACGCACGATAGTGCACAAGTTGTTGATTTGGAACACAGAAAGCCTAGCCCGCTTGCCGCCAAAGATGTTGCTGGCGAACCTCCAGCGATCGCGTATGATTGCGTGGGGCTGCAGCACTCAAACCAAGTGGCGGCAGCAGAATTGCTACGCTTGGCGCTTGGTGATGAGAAAAAACATCCAAACCATTGCGACGCGTGCGCGGAAATCCCGAATGCCTGTAGCGCCATGGCTCGGGCTAGGTCGTTTTTGGTTGTTGTTGTTTTCGCGCCTTTTTCTGTCTGCTCGCTGACCGGCGGGGCCGCTCTGTCAAGGCCGGCAAGAAGAGGAGACTGTGCAGACCAGCGGGCAAAGCGGCGGCTGTGCACGATGGCAGCTCTTCTGGCACGGAGCGGGCGCGCCATCAGGAGTGGCAGGTGGTTGCTCCGGCACCGGCGTGAGATCACGCTCTGACGCCGGAAGCAGCGCGCGCAAGTGGAAGTCCGGAACTAGCGGCGCCGCGTGCTGCGGGGCGACCGCCGGTGGTAGAGAGCGAGCGCCCGAGCGCAACCGATCAGCCAACACGGACAAGCCGGAAGCAACACGCTCGCCAAGCAAAACTTGCAGCAACGCTTCCAGGGCAGAGGCAGGAATGTAACTTTGTGGTGTCAAGCATCGTCCCACAACCGTTGCTTTCTGTGCGCCTGCAACAGGGCTCTAATGCCTGCAGGTGTTCGAATGTTTTTTGTTTGTTTGTTTGTTTTTTGTTTGGTCTCATTTTTTCGCGCACTGCTTTCCGATCGCAAGCAGCGGGGTGAGACGGTGAAACGAAAAGGCGGCCTGGGCTCAAGCGGGAAGGCGGCTCGGCGCCGGCCCGTTGGCCCACCTGGCATCGGCGAGCAAGTCGCTCACCGGCGGCTCTGCGCTACAGTTTTTTGTTTCTTCTTCTCACGCCTTTTTGCTCTTGCAGTCTCAGCTCGTCGGTGCTGAAGGGGCCCCGGGCACTAGGGTTTTCCTCCCCCTTCACCCCGCCAAAGGAATGCTGTTGTTGCGGGGGCCAGCTCCCCTCGTGCAGGGCACTACCGCACCGGCAAGCGGGAAACGTCAGGCGCGTCAAGGAACCCAGGTCGCAACACGCGCGCCTTGGCCTGGGCGAGCAAGCGCAGAAAATCCGCTGCCTCGGTGCTCCAGCGGCCCCCGACCTCAACACCGAGGACGACGAGGCGGCAACGGGCGTTGCCAACATGCGACGCCGGGCCTCCAATGGGCCGGGCAGGGTCTCGCAAGGAATGGGCCACACCACTGCCTGTGAGTGGCGACACAATGGTCGTGTCGACTGCAAGCTGCGCTCCATTCCACAAGGGCAAGCCGTTTGCAATGACCTCGACGCGGCGGTCATCGAGCGGGCATCCACGACTCCGCAGAGCACTAGACCTAGCGCAGGCTGCTCGGTGATCGCCAAGAGGGTCGAGAGGGCGACGACACCGGCAGGTGCGCTCGGACAAAGGCAAAGAGAGGCGCAAACGCCGCAACAACAGGGCATGCAAGTGGGCAAGAAGAGAACGTGAGCTCGGGGCTGGACGGCACACTGGTGAAAGGGCGGCTGCTGAAAGGCCCGGCCTGGGAAAACAGGAGCCCGGAAGCAGCGGGAGCTTGCCAGCCCCGTGCGCTTGGCTCGGGCAGGTGCGCCAATTGCTCTGTTAGTGAAGGCGGGGCCTGGTTGCCAAGCAAGTCTTCCCAAGATGGCGGGCCAAACTATGGACTCCCGCGAGCTATCTTAAGACAGTTGGCCAACGCAATCGTGACAAAGACAAATGACCAATAACAAACAATCGTTGATAGCAAGCAGCAACATGGCGGTTTCTGCTCACGAAGCACGAGTCGGAAAGCGGGGCCCGCGTTAACGTTCTTCCTTGCGCTTTGCGTTTACTGGACATTTTCGGGGGGGGGGGGGGGGCCTAATGAAAGCGAGCGAGAACGACTTCCAAGCTGCCAAAGGTTTGTTGGTTAGGCTTGGAGTTTCGGAGGCTGACTTTTAACGAACGCAACATGCAGCACAGTGGCACGATGCTACATGTCGGGGCATGTCATTTGCAAAGTGGGAGCTGGCAGAAACAAAGTGTAGAGTTGGAGCCAAGGTGTCAGTTTGTAAGACGTTGCTTTTGCCAGTTCAATGTGGAGACGAATGCTCACTTGCAGAACCAGCTCATTTGCGCCATTTTAGTTACGTAGACAATGTGGCCTTGTTGTTGGACACTTGGACCCTCAAGGCATGCAGCAGCAATTTCAGCCTTTGGAGGTTTAGTGCCCATGAACCATGCTTGGTGTCGTGCACAAATATTTTGCAGCATGCTTGGAAGCAACGCCAGCCAACCAAGATCAGCCATTGTCAAAAAATCGCTCTGAGGCTGTCACTTGCAATGCTGGGTGAGTTTCAACTGCATTCTTTAGCCGCAATGTTCAGCCCGATCATGTTTCACTCACAACCAGCTTGAGCTGCTGTTGGCATTGCGTTGGAAACCATTCGCGCAATCTGCTCTGCAAGCTTTCTTTGTCCGCCAGTATCCCGTCACCATGGCCAGCTGCCAGTACACAAGCAGCCTATATGGCCGCAGCAACTCCTTGCTCAATGTAGCTAACCTGTACTCAGATACCAGTTAAGCTGCCGATTCCTGAGAGACATCTTAGAACTTGAGAAGCATTATGAGTCCTTTCTGGCACGATCTCCTCAATGCGTGATTTTTCCGAACCACTCCGACGTTCTAGCAGCGCCTGCTGTTCAAGTTTTCTGCAAGTACGCCACCACCATACTCACAACTTTTTTGTCGGACAAATAACGCAGCAGTCCCACACAGCTAAGCCTGTAGCGTTTCGCGACTGTTCTCGTTTCCGCTCCCAAGCGCCACTGTGTGATCATGGTGTGTGGCTACCGTGTAAACGTTGCCATCTTCATGGCCAAAGTGAACATGTTCACAACCAAAGCGTAGCCGCTCACTCGCCATTCGCATGGCTGCCGTTGCAATTTGCAACAAAGCACAGCCACTTGGTCACACAAGTGTTATGATCCTGTAGCGTGCAACCATACTAGGACCGAGCACAACACCGCACTATGAAATGCGAAAATTAAAGCTGAAGGGTAGCCACTCTGTAATGGCAAACGTTCCGAAACCCAATTGCAACCCTTTGTGTGACCAAAGTGCCAGCATTCAGTAACCACGTGTAATCATTCCTTAACCAAAGTTTGGTGGCGTCCCGCAACAACATAGGGGTCTTTCAGTTGTCGTAACCAAAGTGTAACCAATCCGTAGTGAGAGTTTAGAGGCGTTCTGCAACCAACATGGGAGCTTTCCGTAACCTAAGCAAAGTTAGGGGCATTCCGCAACCAACGTGGGACTCCTCCGGTAACCAATGTGTAACCATTCCGTAGCCAAAGCTTGGGGGCATGCCATAAACGACGCGGGGCCCTTCCGTAACGAAAGTGTCACCATTCCGTAACCAAAGTTTGGAGGCATTCCGCAATCGACACGGGACCCTTCCGTAACCAAAGTGTAACCATTCCGTAACCAAAGTTTGGAGGCATTCCGCAATCAACACGGGACCCTTCCGTAACCAAAGTGTAACCATTCCGTAACCAAAGTTTGGAGGCATCCCGCCATCGACACGGGACCCTTCCGTAGCCAAAGTGTAACCATTCCGTAACCAAAGTTTGGAGGCGTTCCGCAATCGACACGCGACCCTTCCGTAACCAAAGTGTAACCATTCCGTAACCAAAGTGTAGCCATTCCGTAACCAAAGTTTGCAGGCATTCCGCACTCGACACGGCCCTTCCGTAACCAAAGTGTAACCATTCCGTAACCAAAGTTTGGAGGCATTCCGCAATCGACTCGGGACCC